AAATGTGTATTTGAGAACTAGAGAAACACCTGTTTCATAGGAACAGTGTTGAATTGGAATTAGAAATTATCTTTTTCTTGGCCAAATGATACCTTTTTATTGTTTGCAGTGTTTACTTTTATAGAGACCACCCATTAGTGTAGTTATGGTTCACAGTGTAATTGGTCTAAAAAAAATAGGAAACCTAATTATTTCTCTTTAAATTGCAGTTTTCCCACACACTGGATAAGTTTTTAAACTTTCATAACCGTGGATAAAGTTTCTTGAAATAACAGTACATCTTGATTTTAATACTACTTAGGAATTGAATTAGAAAGCTTTGGTCCATTATTTCAGAGTAAGTAGTCCAGGAATTGATGGAAGTTTATTTATTTATCTATCCCCTGATATGTTAAATATCTCATAGCTGAGTTCAGGGTATACAGGGCATTGCTTCACATAGTCAATGTTAAGAATTTAAAAGATAAAAAATACAAAGGGAAAAAATGTAATTTTAACTAAAAGTATTCTTTTCTTAAAAATCTCTTCTTTATCTCTGCTCTAATCTTTATTATTTTCTTCTTTTTGCTAGCTTTGATGTAAGTGTTTACAACTGTAAATTTCCTTCTTAGCACTGCTTTTTTTGTATTCCATAAGGTTTGGTATGTTGGGTTTTCATTTTTATTTTGTCTCAGGGTATATTCTGATTTCCCTTGTGATTTCTTTGATCCATTAGTTGCTTAAGAATGTGTTGTTTGATTTCCAAATATTTGCCAGTTTTTCTAGTTTCCTTCTATTACTGATTTTTAGTTTTATTTTATTATGATGAAAAAAATACTTTGCTTGATTTCAGTTCTTTAAAATTTATTAATATTTGTTTCTTTTAGTCATTCCTGAAAAATGTTCTGCATGCCCTTGAGAAAAATGTATAGACTGCTGTTGTTGGATTCGGTGTTTTGTCTGTGTCTGTTAGCTTCAGTTGATTTACAGTTTTGTTCATATTCTCTATTTTATTATTTGTCTTCTGTTTAGTTGTTCTGTTCATTACTGAAACTGGAGTATTGAAGTCTCTTATAGAGCTGTCTGTTTCTCCCTTTAATTCTACTAGTGTTTGTTTCACATAATTTAAAGTTCTGATGTTTGGGGTGTGTGTGTGTGTGACATCATCTTGTGACCCCATTTATCAACATTTAGAGTCCTTCTTTGTCTTTCATAATAGTTTTTGACCTGAGAGTATTTTGTCTGATACTAGTATGGCTTCTCACTTTTCTGTTTACTATTTACAACCTTTCACTTGGAACCTATGTGTTTGCTTAGATCTACAGTGTGTGTTTTATAGATATGCAGTTGGGTCATGTCATTTTATCTATTATGATACTCTGTGCCTTTAATTGGGGGAGTTTAATCAATTTACATGTAAATATAAGAAAGAACTAACTTTTGCCATTTTATTTGTTTTCTGTATGTCTTTCAGCTGTTTTGTCCTAGATTTCTTTTATTACTGCCTTTGTTTGTGTTTACTTGATTTTTTTTGTATTGACATAATTTGATTCCCTTTTTTTTTGTAGATTCTATAGAAATTTTCATTGGTTATTATAAGGATAATATATAATATCCATAAGTTATTACAGTGTAATTTTTTATACCAATTTAAATACATTGAGCAACTATATTTCCACTGCTCAGCCTCACTTTTATGTTCTTGATGTTGTAAATTACATTATTATACATTATGTGCCTACTAATTCAGATTTGTGATTTTTTTTAATTCATTTGCCTTTTAAAACTCATAGAAAATATAAGGTGAAGTTGCAAATCAAAATTATAATAATACTGGTTTTTATATTGGCCATTGCATTTACCTTTATAGGATCTTTATATTGCCTTCAGTTACTGTCTAGAGGCCTTTTATTCCAACCTGAAAGACTACTTTCAGTATTTCTTATAATATATGTGTAGTGATAATGAACCTCCCTCATGTTTTGTTTATTGGGGAATGTGTTTATTTCTACTTCATTTTTAATGGTCAGTTTTGCTAGATATAGAATTCTCATTTGACAGTTATTTTCTTGTAGCACTTTAAATGTATCATGACACTGCCTTCTGGCCTCCAAGGCTTCTGCCAAAAAGTTGGCTTATAGTCTTATTTGAGGATTCTGTCTATGCAGAAGTGAGTTGCTTCTCTTTTACCATTTTCAAAATTCTCTGTCTTGGCTTTTGACCGTTTGATTGTAATTGTCTTGGTATTGATGGTGAGTTTTTCTTATTTAGAGTTTGTTGAGATCCTTGGATTTGTAGATTCATCAGTTTCATCACCTTTGGGAAGTTTTATCCTTCACGTAATCTCTGTGTTCATTTCTCTTCCTCTAAAACATCCATTGGGTATAGGTCCAATTGATTTGTTTCATAATCCCTTGAGCTCTGTTTACTTTTCTTCTTTCTTTTTTCTTTCTGCTCAGATTTGATAATTTCAGTTGTCTTTTCTTCAGGTTTGCTGATTTTTTTTTCTTTTGCCTACTCAGTTCTGCTATTGAACCTATATAGTGAAATTTTCAATTCAGTTATTGTATTTTTCAGCTCCACAATAACTTTTTATAATTTCTCTTTATTGATATTCTCATTTTGCTTATTTTTCTGATTTCCATTCATTTTTTTCTTTAGCTCTTTGGACATGGTTAAAACAGCTGTTTTGAAGTCTGTCTAATAAATTTAATATCTGTATTTCTTCAGGAATGGTTTCTGGAAATTTTTGTTCCTTTGAATGGGCCATGTTTTCTTGTATCTTGTTGCATGCCTTGTGATGTGTTCTGAAAACAGTATTTGAAAGAGTCACCTCTCCCAGTTGCAGACTGGTAATGTACTACTGGGGCATTTCTCTGCTGATAAGTTAGGCATGCCCTTAACCCAATGATCACCCCAAGATGAACGCCTAAGGTCTTTTTTTCTGAGCATTTGTAATGCCTAGGCCTGTGGGTAGCTTTTTCAATTCCGCCTGTATACATGGCTGCTTCTGAGTGTCTTAAGTTCCCACGGAGTCTCCCCTGGATAGTCAGAGCTTCTTCTGGGTACTCAGATGGTCTGTTATATCCACACTCTGTAGTCTTATGCCCCGAACATCTACATACTGTAGTCCCCTTGCAGCTTTCATAAATGGTGCCCATTGCTTCTCTCACCTGATGAGGACCCAATTAGGCAAAACAGGAACCAGTCCTTCTGGCAGACCAGAGAGGTTAAAATGTTACAAATTAGGTCTGTACTCTTCTGCCCATTTGAAGGGAATGAATTGGGAATTGATTTGCTGCCTCCAGGAGACCCAGATAAACTGCAGAAGGGTTGGGACAAGATCACAGAAAAAATGTCACAAAAGTTTTGCATATTTTTTTTCTTACTTGGGTATTTCCTTTGTTGCTATAGACCTGTTTTTCACAGGTTCTGTAAGGTTAATCCAGCTAGTTTTTGGTTGTCTTTGGTGTTTCCTTGAGAGAATGAGTTTTGCCGATGCCACTCAATAACACTTTTTGAACTATGAAAATAATAGAATCCTGTTGAAGGAAGTTTGTAGCACCCAGAAATATAACAAGCTAAGAAAAAATCTCACCCAGATTGTACTGTCCTCAGAGTAGCCACGGTTTACATTTTGGTGTGTTGCCTTGCAGACTTTTATTTTTCTTTCTCTCTTTTTTCCGTTTGTCCTGTGTTATCTTGTTCCCCTACTCCTCACCACCAATAAAAATTGGGGGGAACTCTAAACATAAATTTGTTGAGTACAGTGTTAATTTTTAAATTAGCATTCTTTTGGTTTTATTTCCTAAAACGTTGTATATACTATAATTTTCATTTATATTTCCAAAAGGAAATATTATAGATATTTTGATAACATCCAAATACTTTTATTCTAGTCTTTCTTCTTTCAAAGTATAAGAGTTAAGAAATAATCTGGTGTGGCCAGCCTGTAAGTTACTTTCCTGTGACTTAGACATTTTTGGCATTTTTACATCTAACAAAAAGTGGCATGCTGTCAGTCAAAGGGATAAGCCCAGACCATGTGGAAAGGATCTTAGTTCTTTTGAGAGCTAATATAAAAAAAATTCCTTCTAGACATAAATATTGTGACATCAGTTACTTAGGCTAAACATGCCTATACTCTAAGTGAATTATTAACAATAAATACTTTATGCCATGTTAATTACCATAATATGATTTATAATTTATTTTAACCTTAAGTTTTATATATATATATATATATATGTATATATACATACACACACATATATATATATATACATTGGAGCCATTTATATTTTGCTATACTTGTAATAGTTACTGTACACTAGACTATGTGTAGTAGACTAGACATAGAGGGTCAAAAAAGAGTACATGATCAGAGTAGAAATCATGCCCTAGCTTCCTTTATGTCTACCCCCTACCTCATGGATGCAGTATAAAAAGTAATTACCTGAGATTTTTTGGATTCTGGTTTGTGGAGAAAGCACCCTTATATTAAGGCTGATGGGTGGGTAAATTAGAAAGTATTTTTTGTGATTTGCAATTTTATATGGAGATGTTCATTGTGATTAATTTTTCTTTGTATCAGCAGATTTTTGCTTTTTATAGCTGCATGATTTTTTTTTTTGGTCATTCATTATTGCCTATTAAAAATGAAAAACTTTATTTTACTGAAGCAGCGATATATAATCCAACTTGGATTTTTCAATAATGACTGACTTTTTTCTTTGGGAATACATTACTGTTAAAAATGTAGATTATTAGATACATTACTTTTAATGAATACAAGTGGTATAATTAGAAGGCTGAAAAGGATCCTTGGAAACATGAGTCTTATTTGATAGCTAAGAAACTGAGGCCAAGATACTTATTCTTTGTAGGATATTTTCTAATGTCGTTTGGTTGTCTCACCAAGAAGTACTTGCGTAAAGCAAATTTGATTATAGCATCTGTTGAATATCTAATGTTGGATAAAGTGGGTTAGTTTAACAGATATTCCCCCTTATTTCTTTTAGGTGAATCTGGATTGGGAAAGTCGACATTAATCAACTCATTGTTCCTCACAGATTTGTATTCTCCAGAGTATCCAGGTCCTTCTCATAGAATTAAAAAGACTGTACAGGTATGGATGTTAGTATTGTTAACTGATGATAAGTTGGAATAACATTAATAGTCACAAAGCACATGTACATTTTATTATGCTTCCTTCGAGGTGAGATGCAGATTTGCCCTTAGCCAGTGTGAGGTGGTAATTATGACTTCAGAAATTTTTTTTTTTTTTTTTTTGAGACGGAGGTTCGTTCTTGTTACCCAGGCTGGAGTGCAATGGCGCGATCTTGGCTCACCGCAACCTCCGCCTCCTGGGTTCAGGCAATTCTCCGGCCTCAGCCTCCTGAGTAAGCTGGGATTACTGGCATGCGCCACCGTGCCCAGCTAATTTTTTGTATTTTTAGTAGAGACGGGGTTTCACCATGTTGACCAGGATGATCTCGATCTCTTGACCTCGTGATCCACCTGCATCGGCCTCCCAAAATGCTGGGATTACAGGCTTGAGCCACCATGCCCGGCCCCAGAAAATTGTTTTAAAAAGAAGTTCAGTTAATCAGAATAATTATCTTGACTAGAACTTTCCAAATTTGTCCTGAGAACTCTCCTAGAGATGACTCTGTGACATAGTAACCAATTCCCCTGGAGTTGTGCTGTCTAGTATGGTAGTCATTTGCCACATGTTTAAGTCAATTAAAATTAATTAAATTAAAAATGCACTTTCTCATTTGCTCCAGATAACAAGTACTCAACAGCCACTTGTGGCAAGTGGCTGCCATTTTGTCCAGCACATACATGAACATTTTCATCATTGCAGAAAATTGCATTGGACAATGTAGAGAAAACATGATTCACTTAAAAGCTATTGTTATTTAAATACAGTGTTCTATATTAGTTAGTGGGATAATACAATAGCAATTCTGTAGGAGTCCCAAAGGTGTGTGTGATCAAATTTACTGCTTGTCAATATTTGCTGTGCATTCCAGTCCTGAGGATCCTGTTAACTTTAGTTGTAATAGTAGGTCTGAGATGGGCTGCATTTTTACATTTCTGACAAGATCCCAGGTGATGCCAATGCTGCTGGCTGATAGATGACACTTTATAGAGCAAGGAGCTAGACTCTAGATACATACTTTTTATTAAATAGTATGATTTTAAGCTTTTAAGTTTTGAAATGTGGGTGGTCTGAATTGTGATGTTCTGCACATATAAAATATACCACAGATTTCTAAGACTGAGCCTGTAAAAAAAAATCTCAATAATGTTTTATATTGATTGTATATGGCAGTGATAAGTCTGGGTGTATAAGGTTAAATGAAATTTATTAATTTAACCTTTTTCTTATTTTAAAAGTGGCTACTAAGAAAATTTTAAATCACTTACATGATTGACATGGTATTTTTGTTTGGTAGCACTGCTCTGAACTATTGATTAAAAATATTGTTGGTGAGCTCTGCTCATGTAATACACAGAACATGAGCAGAGGAGGCGGCAAATGAACAGTTTTGGCTGGAGTAGGCTTCATTGAGGCAGTGATGCTTTTAGCTGGATTTGGAGAAGTGTTAGTGATCATCCCAGTGCACAGGATGGAAGGATAGTCTATATGTTCCAGGCAGTAACTCATGTATCAAACTGGAAGATGCAGTTTAGTATAGATCCCAAAGGAGTAATTTTGTGAGGTGAATATCTTATTTCTCCGTTTTAATGTTTCTATTTTAGGATTTTTTTTTTTTTTTTTTTGGTAACCTTCATAGGGCTTGAGATTTAAAATGACCTGTAAAATTATGCTCTAAAAAGTTGATCCTACATGCTTATTTGTTTTGTGATAAATATTGGAAGTGTTAATCCTAAGCAAGAAAATGAACTTTGAACTTTCTTAATTTGGGTATCTATTAGGAATACCTTAATTTAGGTATTTATGAATTTAGATATGCATATATCTAGGTAAAACTAACCACTACCCAAATTAATATATGGTTCATTTCCAGCACCCTAGTTTCTTCCATGTGCTCAGTTTCATTCAGTATTATACCCCCAAGAGATAAACACCTTACTGCTTTCTCCATAGAGTAAGTCTGTCTGTTCTTGAACATTATATACATATACTTTTTTATATGTTTTCTTTCAGTGAAGATTACATCTGTATTACTTACTCATGTTGGGTGTAGTTCTTCATAGCATAATACTCCATTGTGTGAATATATCAGTGTATTATTATTTATTTTAGATAAGCATTTGAGTTTTCAGTTTTTTATTAATAGGAACATTTCTGTCATGTCTTGGTGGACTTAGGCACTCATTGCTGTTGTGTGTGCATAAAGATACCATGGCACTGAGTTTATTTTCTTTGATTTCTAGTGAAGTTGAACATGTGTTTTATACTCATTGACTGTTCAGATTTCATTAAGGTGTTTTAATAATCTGAATATTTTCTGTCATGTTCTTACTGTTGTAAGAGTTTTCAAAACCTAACTAATAATCCCCTACATTTTAGATATTGCAGATATTTTCTCCCCAGGTGAGCATCTGTTAAAGATGTGACAGGCCCTCAATTTATTAGAATTCTTACATCGGGCTAGCTTCAAAATAAATTGTCTAAACTCATTTTACCTTCCGTTAAAGTAATACTTCAAAAATGTCCTCTTCTGTTGTGGATATCTTCCGAAACTCTTGTCTTAAAAACAAAGGGGTAATGGAGGATGAGAATATCTCTAGCAGGATTTTTAAGACAGAGGCCTGTGCACCATTGTTAATATCTTTTCTTTACTAAAAAGAAGACCTGTATCATTTGAAAACTAGATTGATCCTTGCTAGAATCCTGTAGAAGTCCTCTTTCCTTATGGAACCATAGAGATGTATTCCTTTATATACAGTAAACTACTTGAAGATCACCTAAACTCTTTTGCTCACTTACTCAGGAAAGAACATGCCATATTATGGACAGGATCAGAGTCATTCAAGAAGCCTGAATGTATTTAGAAAGTGATAATATAATCTTTTTAATAGTTGGCTGGCTCCTTACCAAGCCCAGTAGTCTAGCAGATGATCTGCCCCTGGAAGCTCATAAATTCTCAAAGTAGAGGGGAGTAGTCACCAGTATTGTATCTTAGCCCAGACATCTTAGGCTGGTGAAAAACACACAATCCTGAGTTTCAAAGGACAAACATTTATAAAAATGGAAAGAAAAATCCTCTCCTGTTATGTAGCTGAGTAAGGAGCAAAATTTTAATAAAGACCATGATCTCATATTCTCAGCCCTGAGCATTATCTCTTTATAAGAGACTTGTATCTTAAAGGAGCTATTCATTCACATTCACAGTCTTGCAAGGAATGAGAAGCTGTGTACACTGAACAGAGAGCTGGTTTTTAGCCTCCTGTGTGTAAAATTGTGGTTCTGATTCAAGTGATGTTTTAAGTATTAATAGAAGGTCTTTAAGATTAACTCTTAACCTTCTATCTTGGACCTTTGGACCCTGAGTTATATGTGTGCATTTCCAGATGTGAGCTGATACTTGTCCTGGAACTTTTTATATCAGTGCTTCTCAAACTTGAGTGCATGTAACAGTCACCTGGAAGTCTTGTTAAAAAAGATGGCTGAGTCCCTTTCTTCATGGTTTGCTATATTATAGTAGGTTTGAGGCAGGGCCCAAAGAATTTGTATTTCTCTTTAGTTCTCAGAATGTGTTACTGCCAGTCTGGGTACTACATTTCGAGAACCGCTGCTCTGTAGTGTTCTTTCCCTGCTGCAAACTGGTTTTATCCTATGTCTGTCAGGATATTCTAAGTCTGTTTTGCCTTAGTTCTTTCAGAAAGTTTTAAATGGAATGAAATAGTACCATGTTACTTCTGTGTTTTACTTAGATATATATTTTTCCAATAGATTGATTAAAATGAAAGAAAAAAATTGAACATTTGAGCTCCACTTCGTGTTTCAGTCTCAAATGTAGATACTCAGATTAACAAAATTTTTTGGAAAAACATGCTTACAATGTTTATGTTTGGTAACAGACTTTATAATTTTGTTGCATTTGCTTTATTCCTTCATTTATTTATTTATGAATGAGATGGAGTCTTGCTTTGCTCAAACTGGAGTGCAGTGGCGCTATCTCGGCTCACTGCAACCTTCACCTCCCAGGTTCAAGTGATTCTGTTGACTCAGCCTCCTGAATACCTGGGATTACAGGTGCACCCTACTACGCCCAGCTAATTTTGTGTTTTTAGTAGAGACGGAGTCCACCTCGGCCTCCCAAAGTGCTGAGATGACAGGCAGGAGCCATCATGCCCGGCCTGCATTGGAAAAGTTTTAAATCATACTCTATGTCAGTGAAAGGGTATCATCTGTTTTTTCTTGGGAATAAACTGTCATTTTTTTCTGAGATTAAAGTCCATTTTAATTTTCTCTTAATGTATTCTGTTAAGAGAATTGTTTCGTGCAATGGCAGTGTTAAAATTTTTCTTAGTTGGAAACTTGACACTGTTCCCCTTTGAAACTTTCTCTTCTCTTGGTCCGTGAAGATTGCTTTTTTTTCTTTTTGAGATGGAGTCTCACTCTGTCTTCCAGGCTGGAGTGCAATGATGCTATTTTGGCTCACTGCAGTCTCCGCCTCCTGGGTTCAAACAGTTCTCCTGAGCAGTTCTCCTTAGCAGCTGGGATTACAGGCATGCGCTACCACCATGCCTAGCTCATTTTCATATTTTTGGTAGAGATGGGGTTTGACTGTGTTGGCCAGGCTGGTCTCGAAGTCCTGACCTCAAATGGAGGCCCACCTTGGCCTCCTAAAGTGCTGGATTACAGGTGTCAGCCACTGCACCCAGCTCGTCCATGAAGTTTTATAATCACTGTTGTAGGTGAAGTGGGTGCAAAAGTTTTGAAAGTGAGAAAAGGTGAAAGCAGTACATCTAACATACTAGGATAACATACTTGATAGACTCCTTGAAAAATTTTCACAGAGCCCAATGAGGAAACTCTCCTGTTGATAATTGGTCCAGTTTTGATAGTTTTTGAGCCATTCACATAACTTACTTGAATGCTTGTCTTATACTAAGTTTTGGGGCTACAAAACACAAAGTTCTCAAAGAACTCACAATTATGGGAAAAATATGGACAAACAATTATGATTTAGTAAGAAAGATGCTTCTGTAAGGTGCTGTAGAGGTAACCTTGGCAAGGTAAATTTTAGTGAAGTGGTAGCAAGATGGCAGTGGGTCGAGAAGTCAGTGTGAAGTGAGTCAATGTAGATGGGTGATGGCTGTTAAGGAAGGGGTGAGAAGGAGTAGCTAGGAGTGAGCAGAGAGGACTCAGAGTGGTTTGATGATTTCTAAAAGAGACCTGAGAATGTTTATGTCCTGTGGTGACTCACTCTCTAAGAAATGAGAGATTGAAGATAGAGGGGAAATAGTGTAAAAGGTTGTCAAGATGAGTCTAAAATGGAAATTAATCAGTTTCCCAGCATAGATTGAGAAATTAGTTTTAGGAAAAAGATCTATTTCATACACACTGTACCATGGAAGGTATAGTGCTTATTCAGACAAACTGGGAATACTCTCATCTTTAAGTGGAGATGTGAGGTACTTCCCTGAGCATTGTGACAGACATAATAAAATAGAGGGCTTGGGGAGAGCCTACTGGGAATTGGGAGAAGCATGAGGCTAAGGAGCACAAGAGGAATATTAGAGGTCATGAATTTTATGGCATAGGAACAGAAAGATGGGTTAATCCAAAATGGGATTTGAGTTGGAAAGGGAAAGAAAGAAAGGTTTTGGGAAGGAGGTTGCTAATAGAAAATAAGAGGGGCAAGGGATTTGAGGTTTCCGTGTAAGGAGACAGGGATATGAGGGGTGGAATGGTTCAGAGTAGAAGGCCGAATTAGAGTCTTTGGATCAGCTTTCTCCTCAATAAAGTAGTTTTGGGTCTTGATGAGATTATTCTTTAAGCATAACTACCCTATTATTGCTCACTTCCTCTTTCATTTTCTTGTGGAACATGATCAAACATCTAAGATGATATTTGTCCTTTGAGCCTGTTGGCAAAATAGATAGTTGTTGTGTTTGAGTTAAGTGGAGTGTCTCAGGCCATTCAAATCTTTTCAGTTTTGGCTATAATGCTACCTCTTGAGAATGTGTAGGTAGAGGTAAGGTCTTGACAGAAAATTTTAACCCTGTTTTCAAAATGTTATGTTCTTAATTAAATCACATTTATTTACCTTAATAAATGGCATGTAGACATTAAGTTAGAGAAGGTTAGTGTACATGAAACTGTATAATAAACATCGACTTTTTTCAGTATACTGGAACTCTTGTATAGTGTATACACTCAGTATTAGAAAATGTGGAATCTCAGATGCCAAAAGAGGACTTGATAGATTAATTATACATAGATGATACATAGACGATAGTGTTAGTTTTATTTATTTTTCGGGGAACAACAGTTGAAAATGCCCTTGATTCATTCTTTTGGTATTAAATGTTGCATCTAATCGTAGAGAACCCTGAGTGATGCCATAAAATATATTGATGTGACCTGCTTAAGGAAAGTGCATGGGAAAGAGGCCATTTGGAGTACATTTGTTAAGAAAAGTTTGAAATTCTTGGACTTGAACTAATTTGTTTTCCCTGGATCCCATGAGGATGCTTGTGAAACCAGATGATAGGATACAGTTGAATCCTGTGAATGGCACCAGTTTAGTTATGTTTTCTGGATCTTTTCCAGAGGTCTCTGACTTTTGTATTTGACCATGTATGGACACACAGAATTTCGTAGGCCAGAGAAGAAAAGAAGCTTTATAAACATTCCTTAAAATGTATAAAATACAAATCTTCATTTGTCTTAGCAAATCAATAAGTAATTAAGTTATTGAACTGATTTATTTTTAACAGGGAAATATCTTAAAATTTAAGCTGTTAGGTTAAAATGTGTAATTGGTACATAGTATATTACTGAAGGCTTTGTTTGGTAATAAAGGAACCAGAAATAGTTTGAAGTAAAATTGAGAGATGATTCATGTAGATTAATTATATTATTATATCACTCTCTAGTATACAGTATTATGTTATTTAAAAGAGTAAGCAGGTAAAGGAGTGGTATGATTACTTTGGATATTTCTGCTTCAGCCACAGTTACCACGAATAAATGATTTGTCTTTATAAAGGAGATGGAGGTGAATTCAAGATATTAAGATGTTAGATTTGACTGGGTTGTCCTTTGATTAGAAGATCACCAGATAAAGAAAATGTAAACTTCCTAAACCAGATGAGATGATATCCTTAAAAAATTTCTTTTAGGCCCAGCACTTTGGGAGGCTGAAATGGGATGATTGCTTGAACCCAGGAGTTTGAGGCTGCAGTAAGCTAGGATCTGCCACGCACTGCAGCCTGGGGAACAGAGTGAAGTCCTAACTAAAAAAATAATAATTTTTTTTCCTTTGGTTCTCATTCTCTCACACTGATGAATCTGATTGTTTTCTCTGAGTTGCTTTCCTCATGTTACTAAGGTAACCTGATAATAGACATGTTAGTTATGTGGCTTATAACAGTGATCTCCTAAATGATGTGCATCCATCATTGATACTGAGAATGATCAGAAAATATTACAACTCTTATTTATTGAGGTTGACTTTTTTAGTCTACAGAGAAATGGTAATACATATTGATACTTAATATTCATATTGCCAATAGCATATATTTGGTGGGTAAATACATTTTGGATAGGTAAAATTTTCACTGATAGTTTGTATCAGGATCAAAGCAGTTCGAAGAACATTAATCTAAAAGATAAGACTTTGGCATCTCATTTCTCTAAAAGAGAAGTCATGTATGTCCACATCTCAGGCAATTTTTTTTCACTTTTAATAAGTTTTATTAGTGATAATAAAATTCTTTTAACAGAAAACTCTTGATTGCTATAGGCCTGTGCTCTGTATTCGTAGTCATTAGCCACATGTGGCTATTTAAGTTAATTCAAATTAAATAAAATTAAATATTCAGCTCCTCATTTGTACTAGTCAGATTTCAAGGACTAAGTAGCCACATGGGCAGGTGGCTACCATACTGGACAATGTGGTGGATACACTGCAATTCCATCATCTCAAAAAGTGTTATTGGATACAACTTTTCTTGCTCAGCAATGTTAGTCTCTACATGTACTCTCTTCATGCATCAGATAGCATCTGTAAAACAGGCCAAAAGGAAATAGGCTGTCTCTAAAAGTGTTCCAGATTTCTGTCTTGTAAATTATCTTATCTGCATTCTTGGAGCCTCTAGCTTTAAGGACTTGATATAAATGTATATCAAAAGAGAGCCTATCATTTTCTGGAGAAATTATTCCCCTTTTTATTTGAATCCATGTTTGCTTTATCTTGGGCTCCTGAAAACTGATACTTTGCATTTAATAGCAATATTATGTCCAGGATGAATGATAATACATCTTCTCATACAGAACTTGAGGTTACAGAATATCTTAACTTGTGCCAGGAACTGCTGTTATCATTATGTCCAATAGTTGGTTGGTAAGGTTTCACCATATCAGAATACACTTTTTTTTTCACTGTCTGGACTTTTGCTGATTACATTGTCCAGAATGTGGAGTATCACATTTGAGAAGAGGATTGGATCCTAGCCATAATACAAACGCAAGGGTAATTACATCCATGCTGAGAAAGATTCAGGAATGTTAGTAAGTTCATTTGAGTGAGTCGTTTGGGCCACACTTGATAGAGTATATTCCAGGAAGGCATTTACTATAAATGGTAAATTAGATGTTCTTGTCTGATTAATTACATTTGAACTCTGTGAATCACTCATGCTGCTTATTGGTATTATTAGATGCACTTTTAAGTTATATAAGTATTACATATCTTTTCTGGTGATCAATATTTTATCAATTCCTCTGTCTTTATACTAAGTCTGAGTCATAAACTCAGTATGAATTTGCCAAGAGATTGGCAAACTATTTGTACATATGCTTTTCTTTCAAATAATCAGGACTTCCAATGGCCACAATCATTGATTCTAAAGAAAATATTGGAGTAGGTAGATTGAATTTGCTAACAATTTCCCAATTGGTTTTGATAAACCGGAACGTCCCTACCATCACCCCTTGTAGGAAATCACTGGTGTAATGTACGATATTAACATCTGCACCGATTACTCTTACAGGTGGAGCAATCCAAAGTTTTAATCAAAGAAGGTGGTGTTCAGTTGCTGCTGACAATAGTTGATACCCCAGGATTTGGAGATGCAGTGGATAACAGTAATTGGTAAGAAGGGTTTGTCCTCATGCTTTCCAGTGCATTTGAGGTACTGGGGTGGTTAAACTTTTTCTTAACATTTTAAAACTTCTCATCTTAGCAATACCAAACTTCAAGTAACACGACTTGTGTTGTATACCAACTTTGCCATTTATTTGGCAAAGTTGTTGAACTTTGTTGAACCCATTTACTTTTCTATAAAATGGAGATAATACCTATCATAAAATTTTTTAAAGACATATTCTAAAGTAAATAGCTAGATAGAATTCTCATTTATGGTAAGATATTTAAAACTGTTCACTTTAATTTTATCCATTTGTATAAATTCTATTTCAAACCTAATTTAAACCTGATTTTTAGACCATCAGTTTTTCTGTAAGTCCTAAGTAAAGAACTATGAAATTTTAGTCTGAAGCAATTATTTAAATATTTTCTAAATAATACTTTTGTTTTTGTTTGAATTCACATTGTTTTTGAGGTAATTTTCTGTCAACTCTTAGTACTCCTAAGTTCGTCATGAAGTTTTTATTTAATCTCTCATTTGAAATTTAAAGTGGAATATAATCATCTTCATATTATGAAGTGTTGTTGGTATACTTATCAGTGGAAATAATATGTTAATAATTTAGCTGTGTTTTGACAATAATTTTCTTTTTGGAAATTTTTGAAATAATGACTAAAGATTTATTCAACATAATTTATATTTTTGAATCTTTAGAATAACTTGACACATCTTCCACTGGTAAATTTGTTTTGCCTATTTGAAAATATTGATTATTGTCTTTTAATAGTCATCAGTTCATTTATATGTAGAATTGCAACTTAATTGTTTTGTTTATTTGCATTCTATAGCTGGCAGCCTGTTATCGACTACATCGATAGTAAATTTGAGGACTACCTAAATGCAGAATCTCGAGTGAACAGACGCCAGATGCCTGATAATAGGGTGCAGTGTTGTTTATACTTCATTGCTCCTTCAGGACATGGGTCAGTACCTTGATATTTCTGATTCTCTTTTTTGTTGTTGCTTACTGTTACCTTTGTGTATATATTTTAGTAATCTTTCAGTTGGTGAAGTACATATGCCTATTAAGTACCAAATTTTATATAGAAATGCCTGAGTTGAAAAGCCTTTTTAAGTCCTATATAATCTAACGGTGATTTTACTCCTTAGTTCTTCATTCATAAGGATTTTCCCTGCTTCATGGAAATAAACAGTTGTTGCCACCATGGTTTGAGGTCTCGGTGTGGCAAATTGACCACTTTCCCACTAATTGAACTTACCAAATAAAGAGCACCAGCCATACCAGTTAGACATATTCAAAATAAATCCAAAGATGCTATTTATTATAAGTCTCATAAGAGATGGTTATCAAAACACTTGCATGCAGTGTTGTCTTGTGTCATTTCTTTCTACAGTAAATCTGTTTGGCTTCTGTTCACCTTAGCTATAATAGACATGCTGTTTAGGTATCATATTGTCAGTACTAACCCTTTGTTTACTAGGACTTAAGACCTAAGAATCTAGACATTAATTTGTTCTGATCGTTCTGTTTGTTATAGTTAGCCTGTACTCCTTTTTAGTGTTCTCTGTACTTCCCTGTCGTTTTGAGTACATACATGTGTCATTGACAACTGCAGATTTTTCTAATTATTCTTCCTCAGTCTTTTCCTTTGGGTAAGTAACTCAGCATACATAATTCAGCCACTTGATGATTGTAACTCTACCATCTCTCCCCCAAAAGAACTGTAGTAGCATCAGGCTAAATAGCATTAAGTCATCTGACACTCACATTACAGTAGTGTAAACCAGTTCTTTCAAGTATACCTTTCTCTTCTGTTTTTGGCTTCTTTCTCTCTCTTTTTATAGATAGGCCAGTGATCTTTATCACTCTAGATATAGAAGGGAGCCTTAATTATATATTTATATTTTTACACTGTCAGATTGGAGTGGGGTAAAAATGTTTCTTCTTTTATGTCTAATATTCTTCTACAGTTCTCAGAAGTCTACATATTTAAATGACTAAACTGACTGACTTAAAAGGCTCAAAAAAAGTAATCTTAAAAATACAACACACTGTATATCCATTTATGAGTATTTGTGTAGCTTCTTGAATTTATATTTTTAAATCATTAACTTGTTAGGGCCTTCTCCTGAAAGCCAGCAGAGTAAAATCTTAATCTACAGTTAAGTCAATAAAATTTGTCAGTTTATAACCAGTTTTATTATTTTAGATCTTCTGGATCCTCTCCAAGTTTAGTAATTCTCATGAAATCACATTCCTTCCATCCCCTTGGGGAAAATTTTATTTCTTAAATGTAATGGGAAATGAGAGGGTTTTTTTTTTTTTTTTTTTTGAGTTGGAGTTTTACTTTTGTTGTCCAGGCTGGAGTGCAATGGCACCATCTTGGTTCTCTGCAACTTCCCCCTCATGGGTTCAAGCAATTCTCCTGCCTCAGCCTCCCAAGTAGCTGGGATTACAGGCATGTGCCACCGCGCCCACCTAATTTTGTATTTTTAGTAGAGACAGGGTTTCTCCATGTTGGTCAGGCTGGTCTTGAACTCCCAACCTCAGGTAATCTGCCCACCTCTGCCTCCCAAAATGCTGGGATTACAGGCGTGAGCCACCATGCCTGGCCAAGAGGTTTTTTTAAAAGAAAAAAATTTTATATTATGCAAATGATGTGTAATGGCTTTGTGCCATTTCTTATTTGTCAGAAGGGGTAAGATGTTTAAAATTGCTGTTTCTTACATATTAAAATGTACCTTTGAACAATTTCTCAGCTTAACTACTTTTAGAAATGGACCAAAGTTTTGCCCATTGGTATGTGATGTTGTAGATTAAGTGAAAGAATATGACACTGAATTTTATGTATAGAGTTCCAGATACCCTACACTGCTCACTATAGACTAAAATTTCATGCAGTCTAATAAATGAATCGGAGCCTTTCCATCTTCTCTGGGTAGTCCCTAGGTTTCCTTTTTAGAGTTATTATAAATTGGTCCAATGGTGTACTTTTCAGTGCCTCCTACCTCCCTCTTTCAAGTATGAACTGCATACATGGCTAATTTATGATTTCAGCTATTATTGCTTCATGTGCATTGTTCATTATTTTGTAATTGTTATTAAAATTAAAAACTGACTTAGAACATGAATTTTAAAATGGCGTTTTATCCTCTAGTACTGATGACCACTTTTAGAGAAATTGGTGTCATTCAGTGAGTTTTAGGATTTTTTTACTTTAGAAATACATACATACATACAAACAAACAAACAAAAATTTATTTGCCCTGTAGTTGTTTATAGCTTGAAGACTTAGAGGTTAGTCTCTCTAGTATGGGTTTATCTTCTAGAAATGATAAAGGATTTTCTGTTGCTTAAAAACAAGGTTTAAAAAGTAATTTGTTGATGAAAAGACCACCCAATATAAAACTAAATGGACAGTGGAAAAAATTCAACCAGAATGTAATATACATGTGAACTAAATGTTTTCTGTTGCTGACGTTTTGTAGGCTTCTGAAATTTAATGGGATTTTTGCAAGGTCTACCTTTTTTTCTAAAGTTTAATTTTTAAACTGACTTAAATGTTCTGTGACCGTTTTGGTCATATTTAAGAAGTTGACTTCCCCAATTTCCTTGTCATGCTTTATTATTTTTTTCTTTTTTTCTTTTTTGTCATGTTTATTTTTAAATACCTTTCTTTTTAAAAGTTGGGATATTATAATAAATATTCAGCAAGTATTGTTTTGTGTTTAAATATACAATCTTGTTATTTGGATTTTAATACTTTACATTAAATGCCCTTAAGATTTATTAAAATTTTAGATGAATTGAACTCTGCTTTTTTGTCACTGGATTAAGCAAGCTTGTATCTGACATAACAGCTTAATAAGGCAATAGCAATTTAAATTTGTCACGAGTATAAATTGAAAAACTATAACAATTTAGAACTCTGAGATTGAATATTTCATGGCATTTATATTTAGTGCTTTATATAATGATTAATGAAAAGAAGCAAAACTTAAATTAATTTTCAAAGATAGATAGGTTCAGGCCAGATGCAGTGGCTTACACATGTAATCCCAATGCTTTGGGGACCGAAGCAGGAGGATTGCTTGAGGTCACAGACTAGGCAATATAGTAAGACCCTGTCTCTACCAAAAAAAAAAAAAATAGCTGGGATTAGGTGCAGTGGCTCACGCCTGTAAAACTAGCACTTCGGGAGGCTTAGGTGGTTGGATCACCTGAGGTCAGGAGTTCGAAACCAGCCTTGCCAACATGGTGAAACCCCATCTCTACTAAAAATAAAATAAAAAATTAGTCAGGTGTTGGTGGCACGCGCCTGTAATCCCAGCTACTCTGGAGGCTGAGACAGGAGAATTGCTTGAACCCAGGAGGCGGAGGTTGCAGTGAGCTGACATTGTGCCACTGCACTCCAGACTAGGCAACAAGAGCAAAACTCCCTCTCAGAAAAAAAAAAAGAAAGAAAGAAAATTAGTCATGGGGGTGCACTCCTGTAGACCTGGCTACTCTGGAGTTGAAGTGGAAGGACTGGAGGCTATGGTGAGCTATGACAACACCACTGTACTCCAGCGTGGGTGCCAGAGCAAGACCCTGTCAAAAAAGTAAATAAATAAAAATGGATAGGTTCTTTCAGTTAACACTAGTGAGGCAAGAACACAGTTTACAGATAATATAAACACTGTTATTCCATCCAAACTCTTTTTTTCATTGTGCTCCCTATTCTCTGAATGCCAGTGTCAAATTTCAAGGGATTTAAGACAAGGAGAATTAGAATAGGAGGCAGCTATCTTAATTCTCCATTTGCTTTCTCCCCCTCACCATCTCTGTCTTTCTGCCTGTCAGCTTTACCACCACAGTGAGGTATATACAGTAAACTTCGTTAGTAAAAAGGGCTCTTATTAGTCTCAGGGTCCTCATCCCCCCAATTTTAATATGTTATTTCTCTTTATTTTAAATGTCAATTCAGTTATTAGTCAATAAAATAACAGAATGAGACCTTTATTTTATTTTTCTCATGTTTTTATAAAAGTTCAGGAATACCACTTTAGAATGGTAGTCCTTTGCAAACGAAGATATTTCTGGTATCTTCATTTATTCTTGTAAAACATGAAATTTTAGTCCACAGTATAGTCTAGATTTGAGAATTTTGGTTTTCATTTGGAATTACCAAACAGCATAAGGAGAATCACTGCAGCTTGCCTTTTTTTTTTTTTTTTCGTCGACCAATATTTGGGTACCTTCTCAAGTGCCAGATACCATGCTAGTGCTGAGGATACAGATGAATGAGATAAGGCCCTCACTGTAGAATGTATTTCAGTGAGAAGATGGGAGAAACAAATAGAGGACAGGGTTACACTTGGGACAAGGTTACATAAACCCATCCTAAATTGAAGATACGTTTAATACCCCTTGCCAATTAAACATCATAGCTTAGCCTACAGTTGGGCAAATAAAATCATCTAACATAAAGCCTATTTTGTAATAATGTATTGCATATCTCATGTAATTTATTAAATACTGTACTGAAAGTGAAAAACAGAATGGTTTTACAGTTTCTATTCAATGTGTATTGCTTGCACACCTTCAAAAAGTTGAAAAATTGTTAAGTGGAACCATAAATAGTGATGAACCATCTGTATGCAGGCAGGCAATTACTGTATAGCACATTAAGTGTTGTGACCACATCGAAATATGCCTAGTCTTAGGTTAGAGAACAATCGATTCCCAGTGGAAATTGGATTGTGAGCCAGTGCCCTAAAGGATGAATAGGAATTAGCCAGGCTAAGGAGGATGAGAATGGTGTTGCAGCCAAGGTAGTAAGTAGCCTGTGGCCACATGTCAAAGTATGGTGCTTTCAAGGAATTGTAAGAAGTGCAAAATGGCACATTGGAAGTAGGAGGCAAAAGAAAGGCCAGGAATGCTAAGAGATGAGGTCAGCTGGAGAATCTATGTCTTCACAAGCCTTGTAGGCCATACTAGTTAAGGAATCTGACCTTCAATAAAATTTTTGTTCAAGGTATAACTCAGTAAGATTTGGATTTAGAAGGACTGCTCTGACATCAGTATGGATGGTTTGTATTATAGTTATTCATTCCAAAGGTCTTGGTGGCCTAAAGTACGGGAAATGGAGATATACATACATATACACATCTACTCATATATATATATGGGAAGAGGACTAGAGAGGGGAGGAATCGTAGGTTTCAGTTGAGTAATTGGGTAGATTGTAGTGCCATTCACTGAGATAGGAAGCATAGAAGAAGGAAAATGGGAGTTCAGATGAGCTTTTGATTTAAAGGTGCCCATGGAACACCTGGGTAACATATCCACTGGGTAAACACAAATCTGGAACTTAACATTGAGGTCTGGGCTGTGTATCAATATTTGGGAATCACTTGACCAATTGAAGATAATTGAAATTTATTATAGTCATGATAATTGTACTGAATGTAGAGTAAGAAGAGAAGGCCTGGTAAGGAATTTAAAGAATGTTCCTCTTAAGGGACTAGCTTACTAAGGGAATCTTGAAAAATATCTTAAGGAAGAAGAGCTTGTGAGAGAATAAGTAATGGTAAGTATTACGGTGGAAGTATTTAGTCACCTTCTTGAAAGTAAGTATAGAGGCAAACTGGAGGCAGCAGCCAGACTGTAACCAATAAAAGGGATGTTGAAGATTCTCTTGTGAGCATCTTGTTGGAGAAAGAGAGTTGGTAGCAAGAACTGAATGTGGAGTTGAAGGAGGACTACCATTTTTTCATTTTTAAAAAATTCTCCAGACTGGGGAACCTGGCTGTCTACAAAAAATACAACAATTAGGCAGGCATGGTTGTGTGTACCTATAGTCCCAGCTACTCAAGAGGCTAAGGTGGGAGAATCTTCTGAGCCTGGGAGGTGGGTTGCAGTGAACTGAGGTTACACCACTACATTCCAGCTGGAATTTATTAAGACCCTGTCTTAAATAAATTAAATAAATAAATAATACGATTTAAAAACTTTAAGTAAAGAGATAATTCTAGGAAATTCTATTAGGAGCCTCTCTGGTTTTTCCAATTCCTCTTTAGGGCCAAAATCCCGTGACCAGGGTTCAAGGGCAGGAGTCAAAGCCTTAGCCACTCCAATGCTTCTTGAAGTCCTGTTCTACCTAACTTTTGCTGGCCCAATACATCTTCAGAGTGTTTCTGATAAGTAAGTAAAGTAGTTACGTTGTATTTAATTTAGTATTGGGGATGTGAAGAATCTGTTCTTCCAAACTGATCAATTCACTCATATTAAATACTATGTATTTCAGACTTAAACCATTGGATATTGAGTTTATGAAGCGTTTGCACGAAAAAGTGAATATCATCCCACTTATTGCCAAAGCAGACACACTCACACCAGAGGAATGCCAACAGTTTAAAAAACAGGTGAGTAGGATGTGTTAATGCAGGTTTCTTATACCCTTCTCATAATTTGCAGTTTTTACTATTTTTAATATAATGTGTTGCAATCCATTCCTCTTTTTTACTGTATTGTCATGTATACGGTATTAAAAATAACTCTTGAATCTTCTGCCTTAGTTTTTCCCTTAGACCCATTATCATAGTATCCTTATCCTTTGCCAGTTTTTAAAATATGGCTGTTTTAAGTGTTATTTAATAACACCTCCACACAAACAATTTCTCCCCATACTCTTTGGAATTATGTTCTTAGAATGAATTCTCAAGAAGAGGATTATTCTTTCAAAGGCTCTGATTGTTTTTATGGGTCTTTAACTCCTCACTCCCTACTTTCACTATGACTTAGCCAGCATTGTTTTTTTTTTACTTTGAAAACTTTTTTGGAATGAAGTGGTACCTAGTCATTTCTTTTATTTTCCAGAAAGGCTGAACATTTTAAAAACAGAGTTTTTTCTTTTCCCCTTTTTGTGAACATCTGCTCAAGTCGTGTGTCTTTTTGACCAGTAGTACTTGGTTGGTATTGCCCGTGTTGTTTGATATGAGTTCTTTTTATTCTGGGTATTTAGTTCTCTCTCATTTTCACAATATTTTTTCTGTTTCCTCTTTTGCTGCTTATATCCTAATTTTGTTTTCAGTGTACTTTATGGGATATTTATAGTTTATGTTTCAAACCCATGACCCTAAAAGTCTCATGCTGTATGACTGAACTAGCTGGAAGACCACTAAACTGTTTTTCTAGACTCAAGTCTAGTTGTCTTAATAATATTGAGTTACACAGTCACACATATTTCTAATTTAATTGTGTTTGGCTAGATATGACATTTTATGAAATGTAGGGTCAATTCTGGACCCTTTTTCTATTCCAGTAGTCTTTATATTCAGCCAGTGGTATATTGTTTAAACCACAGCAACTTTGTATACTACTTAAAATCAGATTATAATTATCTCTATTGTCCATATAGTCCTGTTTGTAACAAAATACTTTGTTTTTTCACCTTTTTCAATTTGAATTTCAGAATACCTTGAAACCTGTTATAAAAAGCCTAAGATTTTCTTTGAAGTTGTGCTAAATTCATATAAATTTTCAGGATGTTTCAGTACATTGTTTTTCCTGTATCTAGTATTTTTCTGTTGTATAGTTTCCCATTCCTATTTTTATTGCTATTTTAGCAATAAATATAATGTAATGTGCTATTTTTAAGTTTCAGATACTATCATAAAATACATTTCTTTTATTCTATATCTCAATTTGGATTTTTACTTATAACTTAAACAAGATTAATATGAAGTGGCCTCTTTCAAATGGGTCACATTCTAATGGTTGTACTCAGGACATTTTAATGTAAAACCTCTCACTAAAACCACTGCTTTTAGAGCTAGCTACTATTATTTGTTTTCCTCCTGATCATGTATTTGTATATAAAATTATATATACACACACACAGATACACATATATATAGAGTGTGTGTGTGTATGTGTGTGTGTGTGTGTGTGTATGTATGTACATACCCTAATTGTAAAAGATGTGTGGTCCTATTATTTTTTTCAGTGACAATTTTTTTGCTTCTGTTTGTCTCTGTCTTTGTCTTCTGTTTGCTTCTGTATGTCTCTGTTACATAAGCATGTAACACAGTTTGTTCAGGGTCCTTTTATAACCGCCATGAAAGTTGCACCAAAATATAAGTATAGGCAGGGAAGCTAGTTTTAGGTATATTAGCCATTGGTTTATTATGGGTTCAAATAAGGATAGATAGTTGAAAATTATTTGGATGTCTATATTCTGTTTCAAATTTGGAGTGATTTTGGACATGATACTTTCATTTGAACTAGGTCATTTCTGATGTTATTAATAAGTTGTTTGTTTAGTTTTCTGCATTCTCCTTATTAATTCTTGAGCTTCGTAATTTCTAGGGTGTGTTTTCTCCCTGTGTCCTTCCCTAATCTTATACCTGCTGCTTCTCAGTTTGTGTGTATGCATATTAACATCTAAGGATTTTTCTGATGAATGCGCAGGGGCCAGTGCTGTCCTTAGTTTTACTTTACTTCTGCCAGATTCTACTAAAAATTTTTAGCCCTGTTTATTAAACTAAATGGGAACTTATATCTAAAGGAAGAATCTTAGTCATTGTAAATAAATGACCTAAAGTCATTGTTGTGGAAATCAGTAAGAGAAATCCCTTTCTGGAGTTTTACATCTTTTTTGAAACTCATTTGGTATAACTGTAACACTTCTGAAGTAATTGGATTTTGTGTTTATATATCAGCTTTACGGTTAAAAAAAAAAAAAGACCAGCATAGTACTTTGATTTTACATTACAACTTTGTATCATTAAAAATCAGTAAAGAATCTGGAACCAGGGACCCATATAGGAATCTAAGAAGCATGTAATAAACATAAGACTAATGTACTAATTATGTATGGTGCTCTTTTGCTGACTAATTCTTCTATTTTAGATAATGAAAGAAATCCAAGAACATAAAATTAAAATATATGAATTTCCAGAAACAGATGATGAAGAAGAAAATAAACTTGTTAAAAAGATAAAGGTAGGTTAATCCCTATAAATACACTAAAGTAATTTGGGGCCTTAAAAACATACTACCACATGCACAGGAAAGATCAAAAGTATCAGTGTTTTAAGTAGTTGGCATTACAAAATGCCTAGGGAGATTTAATGTTGAATCAGCTTTATAGTTAACTTTGAAGATTAGCTACTATATATAATAAGGAATTGTATAAACTACCAAGGCAACACGATCCTTATTTCAAATTGTTTTTAATTAACTGGCTTTCATATTATGTAATTTTTTTTCCTCTTAAAAAACAAGTGATGAGAAAGAAGAGAATTAATTTTAAGTTTTAATCAATACAAACTTTTTTTAAATACAAAAATGATGTATTTATTTTGTCTTTATAAAAACCAACTAAAATTACAGCTAGATAAGAGGAGTAAGTTCTAGCATTCTGTAGCATTGTAGGGTGGCTGTAGTTCCAGTAATTTAGTGTATATTTTCAAATAGTTAGAAGAGAGGATTATGAATATTCCCAATACAGAAAAATAAGTTAGGGTTGGTAAATATGCTAATTACTCTAATTTGATCATTACATATTTATATATAGGTATCAGAATATCATACTGTACACCCCATGAATATGTACAGTTATGTTTCAGTTAAAAATAACCAACTAAAAATTCACATCAGCATAATTTTCTGTATTTTAATGTATCATGGTTTTCTAAGTACTTTGCATCTAAAAATGGTATACTGAATAATAATGGCATTATGTAGGTAGATATCTTGGAATAGTGAAATACTTATACCTTGCCAATGAAGAATTTCTGCAGTTTTATAAAATAGCTACTTAGATATTTCCACGAGCCACAGAATTGCAAAACCTTGTATATGGATGAATACAAATCCAGTCACTTGGATTTGAAGCTCCAAAGTTAGAGCTTAGCAAATATACTATTCTCTGCTTAAGGTACTGTTATAGTTGGTTTGTGATTAGGTAGGCAGGCTAGTCACTAGCCTCCTTTTTTTTCCCCAAATGCCAATATATTTTTTTACCTTTTGTCTCCCAAGTATGGGAAAACTTTTTAATTGATTTTTAGTAAGTAATTTGACCAGTGTATGCTTGAATATTCTTAACTGTAAAGAGAAAATTTAATTTTATTTATTGTTTACCGTGGTGGTAATACCATGTGATGGCAATTTACTAAATATTTGTTAAATGGCCTAGAAAAATTAATGCAGAAACCATCAAAATAATTTTTTTTTTTTGCTAATCTGTTGAGTAATGTAACTTTTTTTATTCTTGAATTTGTGAGGACTACAGAGCTGTATTTGAACAAGAATACTTTGTTTTATAGGACCGTTTACCTCTTGCTGTGGTAGGTAGTAATACTATCATTGAAGTTAATGGCAAAAGGGTCAGAGGAAGGCAGTATCCTTGGGGTGTTGCTGAAGGTAAGGTTTTCTTCAGTGAATGACTTTCAATAAGATTTCAAAATTGTGATGAAAAATTTTTATTTATAGTAAGTAGTACAGTATGCATACTGCAATAATATATTCGAGATTTTCAAGGATAGCACTGATTCCAGGTTCTTGGAGTCTTGTTATCCTCTTAAGTACATTCATATTTTTTGAACCTGTATCCAACTAAGTCAAGCAAGTTATGTGTTAAGTCCTAAAGTTGTAATATAGGTTGAACATTCTTAAAGAGAAAATCCAGAATGTGAATTGCTCCAAAATCTAAAACGTTTTGAGCACTGACATTTTGAATTTTGGATTTTCAGATTAAGGATGTTCAACCGGTAAGTATAACACAGATCTTCCAAAATTCCAAAATGATTCTGGTCCCAAGCATTTCAAATAAGAGATACTCAACTTGCCCCATCCTGGCTGACATCCCGCCTCATCATTAAGTCTATTTCTATTTCCTTATTTGAAAACATACTTGGCCAGACATGGTGGCTCACGCCTGTAATCCTAGCACTTTGGGAGGCTGAGGTGGGTAGATCACGAGCTCAGGAGTTTGAGACCAGCTTGGCCAAGATGGTGAAACCCCATCTCTACTAAAAATACAAAAATTAGCCAGGAGTGGTGGTGGCACCTGTAATTCCAGCTACTTGGGAGGCTGAGGCAGTAGAATTGATTGAACCCGGAAGGGGGAGGTTGCAGTGAGCCAAGATCGCACCACTGCACTCTAGCCTGGGCGACAGAGCAAAGCTCCATCTCAAAAAAAAAGAAAACATAAATTAAAATTCAGGAGTTCTTTACTGGGGCCCAAAGTTTGCTCCCAGGAGATCTAATGAACCTTCTGGAATCAAATATTCTGGAGAAAAGGCCAGTCATTTTTATCGGAATGTCAGATGGGTCATGGACCTTCAAGAATGATTGAAAAATGTATACACCTAGTTAAAACAGTCACAGTCTGCTTTCCTCAATGCAAAAATTGCCCTTTTTGACACTGTATATTTAGAGTAAAAAGCTTTCATTAGTAAAAGATCCTCTTTACTAGTTTTGTAAGGAGTTTTTTGTTTTGTTTTTAAATCTGCTATCTTAAATTATTAAGAGTTAAGTAAGGAGTTTTAAATTCTAATAAAATCTTAGTTATAACACCAAACCTCAGAAATCCTCTTGGCAATAGGTTTATTTTATTGATTTAATCTGATATTTAATCTTCTGTATTATAGTAAGCCAAAACCAAAATTGAGACATGATTGTTTTATTTGTTTGTTGCTATTATTTTTGAACTTTTTTTTTTTTTTTTAAAGAGACAAGGTCTTGCTGTGTTGCTCAAGCTGGCCTCAAACTCCTGAGCTCAAGTGATCCTCCCATATCATGCTCCTCCCACATCACATCACTATAGGCACACACCACTGCCCCTGGTTTATTGTGAACAATTCTTTAATTTTTAGGATATTGTTTCAAGTTACTGTTCTTATTGACAGTTTTCCCACCAGTGACTGCTGTAACTTGTTCCCAGCTCTGTCATTCCCAGACAACCTTCAGTTGATGAGCTGAGGCTTTAGAACTTACATACCCCTTAAAAATATGCACCGGAGAAATTGATTTACGTCTCTGTTTTGTAATTTACCCCTTTACTCCCAAGTAATATTCCTATTTGTGATACATTCTTTTACATAAAAATAAAGAACCTTAAAGTTCTTGGCTCCCTTTTTCATTTTGGTTACCTTAAGATTTTTTCTAAAGTGATTCTCCATTCACTCACACCACTGAATTTTTTAAATGTATTATAGAATAAATATATTTTCTACCAATAATGAGAAAATACATGATTTCCCCTTTCAAAATTTCAAAATTTTTTCTGGAGAACGCATTTTGTTAGGTTTACATATCTATTTCTGAGGATGAAAGTACGAGGCAATAATATAGTACACTTCTCTGTCATTGAGTAGTAGGTTAGTGTTAAATCTCAAAAAAAAAAATTGATCTGTTTTGCATTTCCCCTCATTGTTCCTGTGAAATATTTTTTGAAAAGACTAGGTTTAGTGAAATATAATATATGCGGTCTATTTTTTTCTTACAGTTGAAAATGGTGAACATTGTGATTTTACAATTTTAAGAAATATGTTGATAAGGTAAGTGCAGGCGATGATGGAAATAGCTTAAGATTTTCTTTCCCTAAATAAGAGTTGGACAGATTTACTTTTTGTCTTTATAAATGTAGCTAATTTGAATTTATATCTTCAGTCTAGCAATGAAGTAAGCACTACAAGTAGACAACTTAGATTCTTTCTCCAGTATTTTGAAGCTGTGAGCAAAAGCGACAAAATAATTTGTGTGTCTAGGGATACACAGGAAAATTCGTCACTTTATCATTATACTTTGTGTTGAGGTTTAATACTGAAATAACTATGGAAAGTGAAATAGAAGAGGCTCTTCTTTTTAATGTGAAAAACTTAGGAAAACTATATAAGGGAAGGCTTGTTTTGAGTCAAAAGGTAGAATTTGAATGTTAAAAGGTGCACAGCCTGGTAACTGGTGAGTAGGGCATTTTTTATGTAATGAAACATAGCGAACAAAACTAATTTTCCTACCAGGTGAGAAAAAAATTCCTAAATTGTGTCTTGCACACCTGCTGAAAGAGAAGGAAAGCCTATGGAAGCAGGACACTGAGGCCATCCTGATTAGAGGACCAGGACTTGAATTAGAAAAGCAGCATCAGAGAGGAAATCATGAAGAAAAAAAGTATAATAGGACTAGAGACATTAGTAGGTAAGGAAAAGAAAGGGCCTCAAAATGATCCTCAGTGTTTTCACGTTGAGACACGTTCTTTCCTCTCTGCGTCACTCCACTTTTCCCACTTCTGTGTCTTGCTTCCACATCCTTTGTAACCTCCAGTTTTAGATGTCTGTCTTAAGTTGATAGCTGTTCGTTTTCATACCTCTATACACTTTCCCAAAACATAAGAGTCTCTTTAGCTGTGTAAAGAAAGGTAGTGACATAAATATGGATAATAACTGGAAATCATGGAATAACAAGAATGTCATTCTCACAAGTGAGAAGTGAGGGGGAGAATTTAAAAGATTCAAACTGCTGCCTCAAGAAATACAATATATAGATGAGTGTGAATTTTGAAATTAAAGAAATTGGCATGTAATTGATTTTTTTTTTTCAAAGGAGCAGGTGTTTTTGGTAGGAACTACATGATAGGGTTAATTCAGCAGTTGGGGTTGCCAGGCCTCACTTAGTGGAAGAAGAGCAAATGCATGAGGTCATCCTCTGGGTTTTGAGAATCCAACACTTGAGGCTCTATTATAAACTATTTCCTTCCTCTTCCATTCGTAAGGTGTGACTTCAAAAGAAAATAATGTAATCTGCCAAGACAGTATATAGGTAGAGAATATTTAATAAATATTAATTACCATTGCATTCCTCTTGTTTTTAAATTTTCTGGTACTTGCCCAGTGCTTGACACTGTGGCATTCTATAACTTTTTCTTTTGTATTTTAAAAGTATACAAGCAATAATTGCCTGCATACCTGAAACACTGTAGAGGGAAAAGCTAATTACTGAGCCAGAGGCTACTTTGTTGAGATGGAGACTCACTCTGTTGCCCAGGATGGAGTGCAGTGGCGCAATCTTCGGCTCACTGCAACTTCCGCCTCGCAGGTTCAAGCAGTTCCCCTGCCTCAGCCTCCAGAGTAGCTAGGATTACAAGTGTGTGCCGCAACACCTGACTAATTGTAGTTTTAGTAGAGACAGGGTTTCCCCATGTTGGCCAGTCTGGTCTCAAACTCCTGACTTCTCAAGTGAGCCACCTGCCTCAGCCTCCCAAAGTGTTGGGATTACAGGCATAAACCACTGTGCCCGTGGCCAAGAGGCTAATTTGAATATTTGAAGGTTCATAGCCTGGCAGCTAGTGAGGGGCCTCCCTAGTATAAGCATTACAGAGCAAACTGACCATGACTGCAGGAAGATTTAATACATCAGAGCAGTAAGACTTATATGCCTAAAAATTCTAAAGTTATATTTATTAAAAAGATGTATACTTAATTTAGCTCATGTCTTTAAGACAAAGGCACCTAGTGGATATTTAATAAATACTTGAAGGAAATACAATACCAGTATTGCAGATGTCTGTAAATCCCAAGTAACTGAAATCTTGCAGGTCAAAGGTAGGAATAGTGATTGCTTCTAAGAAAGAGGCAAGTTCAAAGAAGTGTTTGCTAATTAAGAGAACTGATTTACTCCAAGGCAAACCAAGGAAGTCAATGGAAAGGAGGAAAACTATACAAATATTTTCAGGTGTGGGGATGGGTGTTTGAGAATTCAGATAGGGAAAGGAAACAAAAGGAGAACAAAGAGTTATGGTATCAGCAATGGGAAATGGAAGAGACAAATTTCTGAAACTGTGAGGAAAGCTGTATTGCTAATTACCAAATTATTTTGAGAATGGAGGAGTGGGTTGAATCGTAAAAGGATAAAGCATATTTAATTCAATGGAAATAAAGACTTTTATAACCTGAAAAAATCAGAATTATGTAGTCATATAGAAGACTTAAGTGATTTTAGTGAAAGGGAAAATCATTCATTATCTAAAATGTTGGGTGACACAAAAATAGCTTAACAATTAGTAAATTCACCTTACTTTGATTTTACATATTCATGCAAGCATTTCATGTAAGTATTCTTCCTTAGGACCTTTAATGATTTTTCAGTGATGCAGTTATGAATGTAATATATAATAATTAAAATTAGACTGGGTGCAGTGGCTCACACCTGTAATCCCAGAACTTTGGGAGGCCGAGGTGGGAGGATTGCTTGAGTTCAGGAGTTCAAGACTGGCCTGGGCAACGTGGCAAAACCTTGTCTCTACTAAAAATAGAAAAAATAGTTGGGCATGGTGGTGCATGCCTGCCTGTAGTCGAAGCTACTCAGGAGGCTGAGGCAGGAGGATGGTTTGAGCCTGCAAGGCAGAGGTTGTAGTGAGTCGAGATCATACCACCACACTCCATCTAGCCTGGCTGACAGAGCGAGACCCTGTATCCAAAAAAAAAAAAAAAAAATTATATAAACCTTGTTTTATATTGGCATAAGTGTTTGTTATTATTCTCCACTTAGAGAAACTGGTAACAATAATTTATTCCAAAAAGTTTATTATATCTCAGCTTCAATCTTTAGTTACCAGTTCTGTTAAAGTTCATGTTATCTGCTATCTGCAATGGGACACAAAAGGTAATGGCATGTGCCTTCTAAAGGGGAACTTAGAGTTGAAGAGGTATGATGTCACCTGTGACATATACTTGTAACAAAAATGAATGACAGCCAAGGAGAAAATGGTCATGGTTGGAATGCTTTGAGTCCAAAGCTGGGAAAAAGGTTTACAAAGCAGTTGAACTCTTTGATGAGAGATTGACAAATTAGCATGAACTGTTCAGTCTCAACCACCAGATATGCCAGGAGTAGGGAGCTGCCTACCTTGCTTGAAGTGGAGTGGTAGAGCTCTAGAGGTAACAGCTGTGGCTATAAGAAAACATGGATTTATCAAGGGACAGAGTCTGGGAGATGAGATTTTTTGGAAAACCCAAACTTAGGACTAAGGAGAGTGAACTAGCAGAGAATTGCATGGAAATGTCAGTACAAAATGAATCAGAGTGATTGAATATCACATTTTATTCACAAAGGGAGAGTTTCAAGAAGCTGGATTATGAAGTAACAGTAAAGGTTTTCTGGGTATAAGGAATGATAAAAAGTACAACAATACACCTTTTTTTTTTTTGAGCTGGAGTCTCACTCTTGTCACCTATGATGGAGTGCAGTGCATGATTTTGGCTCACTGCAACCTCCATGTCCTGGGTTTAAGCAATTCTCCTGCCTCAGTGTCCCAAGTAGCTGGGATTATGGGCATCCGCCACCACATCCAGCTAATTTTTGTATTTTTAGTAGAGATTGGGGTTCCACCATGTTGGCCAGGCTGGTCTCGAAATCCTGAGCTCTGGTAATCCATCCACCTTGGCCTCCCAAAGTGCCAGGATTACAGGTGTGAGCCACTGTGCCCTACCAACCATACACCTTTATGTTTGTCTCCCAGAAGGGAGCTTTAGTAAAGTGGTGAAGATGAATGACGGCAGATACAGGAAGTCTGATACGAATGGGCGATGAGGAGGACTGACAGAGTATTTATATCCACAACACTACGCTGGTGAATAATACCCGTGCAGCAGCTGGGGGTATCTTTACCGTCTTGAATTATTAGATAATGATGACACCATCTCATATGTATTGTAGATTCATCTCATATATTGATTTTATATATGAGAGAAATATATATGATAGAAATGCTGTAAGCAAAAATTTGTTTAACCAAAATACCACATTCACTAGACAGTTTGAATAAACAAATTTACTCTAAAATTCCCTAGTTTGTAAACAATTCGATATGTAATCCAAAATGTATTTTATGTATTACTAAAGACTCACATATTACCTTAGAAATATTGCTAAAAGGAAGGCAGTTTCTATTAGACTTTGAGTTTCAGTAGTAGCTAATCCACACTCTTTTGTCTGATATTTAAATAGATACTATAAAGATGAATACTCTTTCATAGAAAGGTCATCCTTCAGAAACTGCTTTGAGGGATTTATGGGTCTTAAAATCTCATTTGGAATCTCAGTTAGCTCATTTTTTACTGGTCTACTTTGAGTGTAAATGAAAACAGGTGAATGCCTTTTGTTCATTTTAAATCTGAAATTTTTGTGTTAGTAAAATTTTGAATTTATATTAAAGCTTTTAAGCTTTCTTATCCCTAGCTATTAATAGAAGCAAACTCTTGCTGTTTATTTATGACAGAACACACATGCAGGACTTGAAAGATGTTACTAATAATGTTCACTATGAGAACTACAGAAGCAGAAAACTGGCGGCTGTGACTTACAATGGAGTTGATAACAACAAGAATAAGGGACAGCTGACTAAGTAAGTATATTTTTTCCTCCAAAATGGTCTTATTTCTGTAGTCAACAATCATATTGTTTCCTTTTCATTAAATTTCTACTGGCTACTCAGTAGAAAATTTGGATAATGTTCTCTATCCACAACAGTATAAATTTATATTGTTAAGGTTTGTTAATAGTAGAAGCATTTTTGAATGAACCATTTTGATGGAGTTTTTTTTCACTTACAGATTATGTGCAAACAAAGGACAGGCTTTAACAAAAGGAGTATTTAGATGAATTTGCTCTTGGTTACCTTCTGTATTCCTTTTCCAGGGAGTAAATTAGCTGGAGTTTGGGTTTCTTCTTTCGGTGGTAGAGTGGTGTAAGTGACTACCAATTATGTAGCTTTGCCCTATTGAGCTTATCCCAAGTTGTGGGTTCATGTTGGGATTGAAAAACGAGATGTATGAAGAAGCTGGTAACCATGTCTGTGCCCTGCTTTTTAAAACTTTGTCATTATTGAAGATCATAATTACGTCATACTTAACAATGGGGATACATTCTGAGAAATGTGTAGAGCCTTCTACACATCTAGGTTATGTGGTATAGCTATTGCTTGTAGGCTACAAACCTATATAGCATGGTACCCTACTATACTGTACTGTTACAGACAGTTCTAATGGTATTTGTGCGTCTAAACATAGAAAAGATGCAGTAAAAGTACAGTATAAAAGATTAAAAATGGTATAGCTGTATAAGGCGCTTGGTGAATGGAGCCTGCAGGACTGGAAGTTGCTCTGGGTGAGTCAGTGAGTGAGCGGTGAGTGAATATGAAGACCTGGGACATTACTGTACACTACTGTGGACTATTTATTTTTTTATTTGTCTTCAATAATCTTATTTTGTTGTAGCTTTTAATTTTATAATCTAAATTAAAAAAATTTTTGATTCTTTTGTAGTAACACTTAAAACACACATTGTAAAAATATACAAAATATTATCTTTATAATCTTTATAAGATTTTTCTATTATAAAAGTTCTTTTTTTCACTTAAAACTTTGTTGGTGTGTGTGAGAACGAAGACAGAAACTTACACATTAGCCTAGGCCTACTCAGGGTCAAGATCATCAAGATGCCACTGGGCAATAGGAATTTTTCAGTTCATATGGGCCACTATCATATATGCAGTCCTTTGTTGACTGAAAGGTCATTACGTAGTGCATAGCTGTATTACAAAACCATTGTAAATGATGTGCATTTGCAGCTAGGTGTTATCTACCATTAGATGATAATCCTGAAGGATCAACTATATAAGTGAGAAAGTCAAGTTCTCAAGGTAGCTATACTGTTTTCCATAGTGCTTAACATTCCTTATAATGGAATAGAAAAATGTCCCTTCTTAAATATTTAAAATACAAGATTCTGTTTGAGTAAGCTTCACTGTGAACAAAAGGAAGGCTTTTTATCTTTTTTTTAGCAAAATGCTTATTGAGCAACTTACAAAAATGTAAGGATCCATCATAATGAATATTGTTCATAAAATCCTAATTCACTTTAGACTCATTATCATTAACGATGAACTTTTTAACTAATTAAAAGAAACACATACACAAAGCTACTGATAATTGTGTATGTTAAAAGAAATACTACCAGTACATATTTTTTGTTAAATATATATTCAGTATTTTCTTTTAAACATTTGTTATGTCACAGACATAAGGAATTGTTTATTCCCATATCTCAAATATAAGCCTTTTTAAAGTAGTGCTATTGGATGCAGGTAAGGTAATTCAGAGAAAAATAGTAAACTTTACAATAGTGTTAATTTTTTTTTCTGCATATACAAAATTCTGTGTGGATAATGAGTTAAACTATATCCCAGGTGAAAACATAAAAAGTAGAAATCTACTAGAAATATATCTCTTAAAAAGAGGAATCATGACCATACTTTGCCTATTCAAATAAAAAAAGAAACGTTTGCATTGCTAAAAAGCAAATTGCCAAGGAGCTAGCATAATATTTTATTTTATGTTAATAATAAGTAGGAAAATAAATATTTTAGAAGATTAAGCCAACTGGAGAATGGCTGTAATTGGAATAGATACTTGATATGATTTGATAAATTTGTTACTTCATTGAATAACACATTCTGAATGTGAAAGAAATCACTTAGAAGTTTTAGCTATTGGTTGTACTACATTGTCTTGAAAATGTTAGCAATTTCAAAAAACATTTTTTTTAAGTGAAGTAATCAGGTGTGAGTCTAGGCTTCTTTTAATGTTCTTTTTGTATTGCTCTCATGCCACTCTCCATAGCAGTGTATCCTTTGACAGTGGTAGTGGAGTGAGGTTGAGAGTTGCAAGAATTTTGGAATGGAAGGTGAACCTATTGAAAATGTCTAGTTGTGATCTTAGGCAATGTATGCTTCACAAAGTGCTAATCTCACTTTGGTTTTAGACTATAAGCTAAACTTTTTTTTTGAGACAAGAGTCTCACCTGGTCGCCAGGCTAAGAGTGCAGTGGTGCAATCTTGGCTAACTGCAACCTTTGCCTCCTGGGTTCAAGCAGTTCTCCTGCCTCAGCCTCCCGAGTAGCTAGGATTACAGGCCTGCGCCACCACACTTGGCTAGTTTTTGTATTTTTAGTAGGGATAGGGTTTCACATGTTGGCCAGACTGGTCTCGAAATCCTGACCTTGTGATCTGCCCGCCTTGGTCTTCCAAAATGCCAGGATTACAGGTGTGAGACACTGTGCCTTTCCTAAAAGATGATTTTGAAATGTCATTACATGCTTCTCTGCAGTCTCTTATTTTCCCTCTAGAGTTATTTAAATAATAATTTAGGTGACAAAATTACCTGCTCCTTCCCAAGCATAAAGTAAAATAAACATTTTGTAGGTGAGTTATATAAGTAGGAATAGATATTTAATTCTGTCTGAATTCTAATTTACTATATTTACATTCACAATTATATTGTTGGATAATCTTAAGTTGCTTAAATACACATACTTAATTAGCAATTAAAAAAATCATTTTTAGATGATTTCTTTTCTAGAGTCTAAAAAAGATTTTTGGGTGTTAGGGGACAGTGGGAATTATATAGACTCCTTGAAAATCAAACAAAAGCTTTGGACCCTTTCACTGGTCGAATGCTGGCAAACACAAACACACATTTGGTATGCCATTTTGGGGCAGTCACTGACACTGTGTGTGTTCAAGATATCAGAGGTGTCTATATTAAAAACAAACACTTGCCATTAATATGAAGAATATATTATTAAGAAGGATTGCATCAACTTTTAACGAAAAAATGATATTTACACTTGAAAATGTATTTTAACTGACTACTTTTAAAATGCAGTTTCTTGTTCTAAATTAATATGTCTGGTTAGTTTCATTTTCAGAACTTTCGATTCATTGGTTAATTGGAAAAATATATGGCAAGTTTGTATGTAGAAGTAAGTTTTAGTGAAGAAATATCCTTGAGTTAAATAACATTTTATTCCAATTTACACAATTGCGAAAATAGATCATCTTAATCATAGCATTACATCACATTTTTGTTCTTCCTTTTTGTTAAGAAAAATCAGGCCAGCCGCAATGGCTCACACCTGTAATCCCAGCACTTTGGGAGGCCGAAGCAGGCAGATCACGTGGTCAGGAGTTCAAGACCAGCCTAGCCAACATGGTGAAACCCCGTCTCTACTAAAAATACAAAAATTAGCCAGGCATGCTGGAGGGCGCCTGTTTGGTATCCCAGCTACTTGGGAGGGCGAGGCAGGAGAATCACTTGAATCAGGGAGGTGGAGGTTGCAGTGAGCCGAGATTGTGCCACTTGACTCCAGACTGGGCAACAAGAGCAAGACTCCATCTAAACAAACAAAAAAACTGGTAGCCAGTTTTCTGTCCTTTTTGTTTTGTTTTTAACATTTTCTTTCTAGCTCTCTTGCCTCCTTCCTTGATAGAAAAGAAAATTGCTATGATATTTAGCCTAATAAGGAGAACAGTCACCATAATGAGTGTGTGTCAAATCAGGGTTAAAATGACTAGCCTTAAAGTTATGGTTGAAATCCAGTCCTTTTTGTTTTTAAACCATGAGTTAATTCTTATTTTAAAATTAGTGTATAACAATAAAATTTACCCATTTAAAACATATGCCTCATTGGTCAAAGCCTATTTTTATGGAGGCACAATAAGCATACTTTCTTAAAAAAGTCAAAGAGGGGCCTGCCTCATTTCATTTGTCCCAGGGTACTGAATAATTTTCAGAGGTCCTCATAGCAAAGAGCCCACTTAGCTTTCTGCTCCTGGGCTGAAAGCACTAGGTACTCTGGCATTCTTTCTATCTCTGTAAGTGTATTAGCCTTACCTTAAAGCCCACCTGTAAATGTATCTCAGTGTGAAAATTTTGAACACAGTTGTACAAAGAGATTTGAGTTCATGAACTTTAACGTCAACAGAGTGAACAATTTTTGTATTTAACTCTGCTTATATCTATTTTTTGACATTGAAAAATAATTATTAACAAAATATTTGCCCCTGCTTATCTCTAAAGTATGTGTGTGTGTTTTAAATCACTGAATATCTTTAAAACTTAAGACAGTGAAATCTTTGAGTTAAGTGGAAAGAATTTTCGAGAGCATTGAAGGTATCATAAGGGGCCTAGAAATATTCTGTGTACGTAAGTAGTGCTCTAGGTATTGACTAGGAGTTGTTTCCAGCATATTGGTTCAGTTACCAAAATTAGTTATATTACTCTCCATTTTTGTGGTGTCAGTAGCTGTCTTAAAAGAGATTGTAACACTTGAAATTTTAGTAAAACTAAATACTCTACATGTTAACTTCATTACTCATTTTCTGTTTTTCATGTTAAAATTTTGTTTAAAGAACAAAATTAAATGATTTTCTTCTAATGTTTTATTCTGTTAAATGTATTTTGGAAATTTTTTTCCCATTTTCCTTCTACAGTTTATTTGTTATGTCATCATCCTTAGATTTGATATGCAGTAGGTTTAGAGAACATCTTTGTTTTTTAGATTTTTTCTATAATCAAGTTTTATATATGAAATATGGAAAGATGTTCTAGGTTATGAATATATTAATAATGGCATACATACATATATAGCATCTCATTGGTTTTTATCAGCGGTTTCATAGTTCTGTATTATAATTTTTATTCACAGACATTTAATGATTACCTTTAATATTAATGACAGGAGCCCTCTGGCACAAATGGAAGAAGAAAGAAGGGAGCATGTAGCTAAGATGAAGAAGATGGAGATGGAGATGGAGCAGGTGTTTGAGATGAAGGTCAAAGAAAAAGTTCAGAAACTGAAGGACTCTGAAGCCGAGGTAATCAGCCTGACATTCCGTCTATTAGACATTGTGTTCCTTTTTAAATAGTGTTTTCAGTAAAATTTATAGATATTATAACCTTTTTATACATATTTTTTCAAAATTAATACCCTAGCATAACAAAATGGAGAAAGATAATGTATACTTTAATATGTAAGTGCTTGGGCATAGAATATTAGATAGGACAGCATAATAGAATACTTAATGGACTATTAAAGTTATAATGAACAAGTTTGAGTTGTGAAAAATAAAATTATAAGCCATTCCAAACAGTGGCATAACAACACTAAAGATGAGCGTCGAGGGCGGATATATGCATAAAAACCAGTGTGAGGATAATACTAATTGGCCAGACTTAATTGTATATGAATAAAAAAGAGGGAAATAACCTTTATTGAACTAAAGGCATGCCTGGATAAATTACACATAGTTAAAGGAGAGAAAATTAGTTAACATGAGATTTTTGTTAACAGGTTGGGCCTTATTTATAATGTAGTGTCAAGGTAATTCCTAGTGTTACAACATTGGGCCAGGGTAATGACAAAACACCCCAGCAGACATATCTACTGTCTTGAAACCTTTCTAGATGTTGAGTTATACATTGAGTTTCTATTAATCAAAAAGACCTTGGAGACATTTCCTTCAATGGTGGCAAGAAAGAAAAGGTGGAGGAAAAGATAAACTTAACCTAAGAATCCATAGAGCAGTTAGTTTGATAGATGTTTGAGAATGGTAGAAAAAAACTATGGGTAAACCCAAAATAAATCAGTGATTTCAGTATGAAGTTTTCTCAACATAAATTTGTTATAATTAAATTATAGGCAGGGTGTGGTGGCCCATGCCTGTAATGCCAACACCTTAAGAGGCTGAGGCAGGTATCACTTGTGGTCAGGAGTTTGAGATCAGTCTGGCCAATATGGTGAAATCCCGTCTCTACTAAAAATACAAAAATTAGCTGGGTGTGGTGGTGTGTGCCTGTAATCTCAGCTACTTGGGAGGCTCTGGCAGGAGAATCACTTGAACCTGGGAGGCAGAGGTTGCAGTGAGCTGAGATCATGTCACTGCACTCCAGCCTGGGTGACAGATGGAGACTTTGTCTCAAAAAATAAACAAAACCCATAAAACAATAAGTTCTTTTTAAATATGCGAGATGAAGGCCAGGTGTGGTAATTCACATCTGTAATCCCAGCAGTTTGGGAGGCCAAAGCAGAAGGATTGCTTGAGTCCAGGAGTTTGAGACCAGCCTGGGCAACATGGCAAGCAAGACCCAGTCTCTACAAAATATTAAGAAGAAAAAAAAAAAAAAGCTGGGCACCTTGGCATGCGCATATGGTCCCAGCTACTTAGGAGTTTGAGGCAGGAGGGTCACTTGAGCCTGAGAGATCGAGGCTGTAGTAAGCCATGATTGTGCCACTGCACCCCAGCCTGGGTGACAGAGCTAGACCTTGCTCAAAATTCTATATATATATATATATGACAGTAATGTAAAATATTTTTACAATAATTGTCAATGATAAAAATTTAGAAAGATCCCTGTTTTATGTGGCTTCACTAATACAATATTTGGATCTAAGTATATTAAGAGATTCAGATCTCTTCTGTTACATTCTTACAGTTGATTTTATTGCTTTTGTAAGTACTGCATAAAATGCAGAAACTTTTTGATTAAAAGCATAACAAAAGTACTCTAATCCATTGAGTAAACAATGCATGGCATAAGAAAGTGTTATATAATTTCAAGGAAATATTTTCATTCTACTACATTACTGGGCTTTTCTTATAATTTCTTATTAAAATCTTTCACTGTTGTTAGATTTATTGTGAGTTTAATTTAGCGGGGGTATGGAATAATTCCTCCTGGTTGGAGACTGCTGAGTACTAACGGACTAGCATCCCTGGCACTGCCACCCTATCATTGGGCACCCCCAATCAAGAATTACTGTCTTAGCTGTTGCTATTATGTTATAAATGAATAATTAATGTTCTTAACATGACATTTCGGAGATTAAGTTCAGCCTGTTGTTAAATAGATGCATTGAATCTCTGCCTCTTCAGTAATTCACATACAATCGGGAAAGTCCGTTATCCAAAGGGGGGAAAACAGGAATAATCAGGAATCTACTGCATTATCTCCACACTCAGATTCCATTGAGAATCTAAAAGTTTAACTTATATTTGAGGCTGATGTATTTTAGGACCTGTTGCTAAGAGTAAATATTATAAACAAGTCATTGTGAACCTCAGGAATTTTCATGATTACTGTGAAGGGTGAAGATAGTTTTGAAGAACTACTCTTTGAAGGATGGAATGTTAACATTTAAAGGACCTGTGAAGAGCTCTGGGCCAAGTTCCCACTAATACTCTAAGCCATTACAGAATTAGGCATGCCCATTCTAGATTCTTCGCCTTTTATGAAACCACATTCAGAGTGTATTTACCAACATCCCTGTGGTAATGAGTTTGCAAATCATCATGCATATGATACATGATATATATTATGTAAATATGATACATGTAAATACATAAATAGGTAAAGAAACTTTTAGCTCTGTTTAATACAGTTTCTCCTTAAATCCATTGTGCTGGAAATATTTGTTTGGGGTACAGCTACTAATACCTACCAGCACAGTACATCAGCCAAAGCACAAAGCATCTTTCACGTATTATGTCGCCTAGTGCACACCCACAGCCCTGTAAGGTAGATATTATTGCCCATCTCCCCTTTAAATGAAAAGAAGGATAAATTGGTAAGCCAGCATTTGAACCCAGTTAATTTTTAAGTCACTATGCTTATCACAACTTCAGAATGGAAAAATCTCTGAAAACTGCAAAACCTAACATGAACTAAGTTTTAATCCTACATATTGTGAATATTTATATATTTTACTGAAAAAAAAAAAATAAAAAGTAATGTATTTGATTCCCTTGTTGCCCCAGATAGCCCAGGAGGTATTTTATAAACACAGTAAATACTCCTTTCTAAGCAATGTTGTCTTTTTAATAACTGAAAAAATTTTGAACTTTGAAAGGCATCTGACCCATAGGTTTCTTAAAAATGAGATTGTGACCTATACCTTTATCTACATGCAATTAACACAAAAGATAATTACTTACATGTAACATAAATGTAAGTGAAAGCATGATGAACACTGTAACCCTACCACCTGGCTTTAAAAAATAGAACGTTATCAACTCATTTGAAGACCCTGTGTGCCTGTCCCAAGGGCTCTCTTATACCCAAAGTAACTACTGTTCTGAATTGTGTATATGTGATGCCCTTGCATTAAAATAAAATAACTAGAGACATTTTCTTATGTTCCTGCTTTCTGACATTTTCTTAGTAACTTATCTGCTGTCATCAGAAAGATTTCATCCCAGATTTAACTCATGTTTGCTTAAATGTGTCTTAGGTGATTTTGTTTTGTAGGAATTGCATGAAATAATTGCAATAGGAATAAATCTGAAGTCACTTTGGGCTTGCAGAAAAGAAAAATTATATGCAAAATTATATTATAATCCAAATTCAAGATGTTAACTCACCAATGTAGTAAAATATTTAACAGAACATAATTCCTGGACAACTGAAGGTTTTGAATAGTTCTTGGGTATTTGGCATAGTAGGATTTAATCTGATTTTTAAAATGTGTTGACTTGTTTCAGAAATGGACTGACTTGTGCCTGAAATTATTTATCTAATCATCTCCTGGACTTAAAGCTCTTTGTTTCTGCAGTTACTTTGCATGAGTGTTTCCCACCTCTCAGTTAGCATTCTTTACAGCATCAATACTCAGCTGAGTATTAGAATACTCCTCATTAGAATCCCTGTAACTTGTTGAAAACCCACATTTCTAGACACCTAACACCCAGATATTCTAATTCGGTACATCTGAGTGAGGTCCAGGATTCAATATTTTTAACAGACATCCCAGGTGATCTGCATGAAGACCAGTGTCTGAGAACCACAGCCTACAAGAATTCAGAGTACTTCACTGGCATCTTTGAGCTTGTAGGGTCCTAAACTACCCGCTTGCTTTTCATTTGTCTCATCTTTCTAAAGTTGGAATTAGGAGGCTTATTCAAGTCCTGGTTCTTCCACTTTATGGCTAGCAATCTTGGGCAAGCCACTTATACTCTGCACCTGTTTCCTCATCTGTACAATGAGAACAGTGGTGCCTTCACTGCCCAGCTTCCAACATACTTGTGATTAAAGAAAAATGAAATAAGATAGTAATTTTCATTACAAAGCACTACACTGTTACGGTCGTTGCTTTTTTCCCCCCGTTTCCCAAGATTATTGTCTTAGGTCACTGGCCTTTTGGGTGGCAGGTCCTAAAGTAGGAAGAGTCCTTGACAGTGCTTTCCAGGCAGTACTCTGAATTTACAACGGACTCTTCAGTGCTCATACTCAGTTACTGTTAGGATGACTGGATGAAACATACTTCTGCTCCTGATTTCTTAGTTTTGTTTCATATATTGTGCTATGATTTAGCTCCAGCGGCGCCATGAGCAAATGAAAAAGAATTTGGAAGCACAGCACAAAGAATTAGAGGAAAAACGTCGTCAGTTTGAGGATGAGAAAGCAAACTGGGAAGCTCAACAGCGTATTTTAGAACAACAGAACTCTTCAAGGTAACTAACTAATAGCAGGTTACTAAGAAATGTGTATATTAATGTTTTAAAGAACTGTTTTCCTACTTAATTAAAAAACATTAGAATAACACTTAAAAAGTCACCACTCATTATCATGCATTCCAAACACAATGGTTTTTATGGATAAATGTTTTGATGTGGATGGATACAGTCTGTGTGTGTATCATAGCAGTATTTTTTCAGTGCATTTTCTATGACTTAGTAATTATGATTTAGCAACTTTATGACATTCTCCCCCGTTAACTCACCATAATTGGATTTCTTGTCTCCGCCCTCCAATTGTTGGACATAAGGGTTGTTTTCAATTTTTGGCACACAAAGGGAACATTGCTTCAAATCTATTACATATTTAGGGGTATGTTTTAATTGTATTGAGTTATGTTCTTAGGATAAAATTCTTAAGACAAAGTGTTAGATATTTAATTTCCAATACAGCTAATCAGTTACTTTCTTTTAATTTGTATAAAATTCAATAATATTTGTACCTTGGTTTTCTTTTCCTTAAGAGTTTCATTCAAAACTGAAAAGTGGCATTCCTATAAGGATTCTATAATTTATCCTCACTACCAAACAGTTTTAGATTAGACATTTGTTCTACTACACTATCCTACTATTAACATTTTCCCCAAAGAAGAAAATAGATTTGTGAAAACAGTCGCACTTCAGAATGCACATGACAGTGGGAAAAGAACACCCTGTTTGATGCCAGTTGATAGTTTTCAGTTTGTGCTGTTTCATTTGGGAGGAATTGCGCTTGTATATTAAAAGGGAGTTTTGCCATGTTTCTTACTGCTTATCCTGGAATTCTGTCTAATATTCGATGGTCTAAGAAAACACTATTACAGATTAACATTGTCTCAGTTGTTTACTTCTAACTTCTGTGACTTTTTAAATGAAAAAGTAGCATCTGAAAAATCCAGCATAGTTGTAATTGGATTAGCTATTGTTATGTGTCTATGTTTATAAAATGGTTACTCATCTTGATTATTTTCCTTTAATCCTTTAGAACCTTGGAAAAGAACAAGAAGAAAGGGAAGATCTTTTAAACTCTCTATTGACCACCAGTTATGTATTAGTTGCCAGTATGCCAGCTTGGACATCAGTGTTTGTTGGATCCGTTTGACCAGTTTGCACCAGTTTTATCCATAATGATGGATTTAACAGCATGACAAAAATTATTATTTTTTGTTGTTGTTCTTGATGGAGATTAAGATGCCTTGAATTGTCTAGGGTGTTGTGTACTTAGTAACAGCTCTAAGTACCTTTCCTACATTTTCTTTTTCTTTTTTTATTAAACAGATATCTTCAGTTTAATGCAAGAGAACATTTTACTGTTGTACAGTCATGTTCTGGTGGTTTGATTGTTTACAGGATATTCCAAAATAAAAGGACTCTGGAAGGTTTTCAGTGAGGATGAATTGCCATAATATGATGCAAACTATGCTTCTCTATGATAATTATAATACAAAGGTTCCATTCAGTGCAGCATATACAATAATGTAATTTAGTCTAACACAGTTGACCCTATTTTTTGACACTTCCATTGTTTAAAAATACACATGGAAAAAAAAACCCTATATGCTTACAGTGCACCTAGAGCTTTTTTTATAACAACCTCTTTTTGTTTGTTTGTTTTGGATTCTTTAAATATATATTATTCTCATTTAGTGCCCTCTTTAGCCAGAATCTCGTTACTGCTTCATTTTTGTAATAAACATTTAATTTAGATATTTTCCATATATTGGCCCTGCTAAAATAGAATATAGCATCTTTCATATGGTAGGAACCAACAAGGAAACTTTCCTTTAACTCCCTTTTTACACTTTATGGTAAGTAGCAGGGGGAAAAATGCATTTATAGATCATTTCTAGGCAAAATTGTGAAGCTAATGACCAACCTGTTTCTACCTATATGCAGTCTCTTTATTTTACTAGAAATGGGAATCATGGCCTCTTGAAGAGAAAAAAGTCACCATTTTGCATTTAGCTGTATTCATATATTGCATTTCTGTATTTTTTGTTTGTATTGTAAAAAATTCACATAATAAATGATGTTGTGATGTAACAGAGTGTGGGGTCTTAAATACTCTACAGTTGATGTACCAGAGTAGACTGTGTTTGGGAAGAAACTTTTCAGCTTGAACCTGCCTCCTCTGTCATGACATCTCTTACATGCTTGTCTCATTTAGAACGTGTATGTGCTGATTTTCTAATTTAAGAGATACCATATCTCACTATTCATTTCTGTCTCTTATTTGTATGCTTATTTTTCTGAGAACATTTTTTTTTTCCAGTCAGGGTCTTGCTCTGTTGCCCAGGTGGAGTGCAGTGGCACAAAATATGACTCACTGCAGCCTCAATCCCCTGGGCTCAAGCAGTCCCCGAGTAGCCCCCGAGTAGCTGGAACTACAGGCATGCACCGCCATGCCTGGCTAATTTTTGTATTTTTTTGTAGAGACGGAGTTTCATTATGTTGCCCATGCTGATCTCAAACTACTAAACCCAGGTGATCCACCCACCTCAGCCTCCCAAAGTTCTGGGATTACAGGCTGAGAACAGATTCTAAATTCAGCTTAGTTGTTTTCTCAAGGTCAAATGATACAGATTTTAACATAGTGGAGAATTTCAGTGTAATTAGTGTAGCCCAGTTTATTATTTTGCAAATGTTTTACCCTATCTACTTTTTGAAAAATTAATGACCTAAGCAGGCAGACTAATTTATAAGTCAATAGCAGAGACTTGTTGTTTTGGTGTTTTTATTTCAGTTTTTGTGTTGAGAGATTGGGTTAACACCTCTAGCCAAAAATGTTTGGTTTTAGGGAGGTTAAGAACAACCTACTGAATTTGGAGAATGCAAAGATAAAAACTTATATAGACTGCCTGCCTAACTGGTGAAGTGCTACTGCTTCTGTGAAACATTTCAAAATTCTGTGTATTATCATAAATTTGTAGGATAAATTCATTATTCTACCATCCTAATGAGAACTTTCAGAAGTCTGTATCCATGGCATGCCCAGGGTCTCACCTGATCTGATGATACAGGATCTATGTAACTTGACTAGGTCTTTGGATTGTTGACTGCAGGCTTCAGTGTATTAGAAGGCTCTTTTTGCTATTTGGCCTTTGGATTTCTGAAAGGATCATTCACAATACACGTAAAATTCAGGTAGGCCTAAGGAAAGGCCAGCCTGTAGAAGGCAAAATGGCAGTGTCTGTTCTCCACTGTCCGAGGCATTATGTAACTGAAGTGTCCTGCTCTCCAGTCTTTCTGCTAATTAAGTGGGGCTGACCAAGTCAACACTAATACCAGTGAACCACTCGAGCACCTTGTGGGTAGAGTTTTGCTGCCACCTAGTGGATTCATTGCTTCCTCATCCGGTTTCACAAGCAAGTTGTGAAGTTGCTAGTAGACAGCTTATTTCTGTGTAGCTCAGGCTGTACTCTCAAAAGCTGAGGAGATACAGACCCCTGCCTCTCTGCCTCTTCCGCTGGGTGCCACCACCTGCACATTCTGACCCACCACATCTTAATATGTTTTATCCTTGTGGAGAAACCAGTCTAGGAGTAGAAGTCAGATACGGTACGTGAGGGGAGTAAAAGGAAAGATGGCTTGACAGCCACGAATGCATCAGAAGCAAAATGTTGCCTCAAAAATTTGTCTACATCACAGTCTCCAAACCTGATGTTGTGTCCTTGTGAAAATATTTCTTAGCATGTGTCCATAATTACATGTATTGATCCATAAAAATATGTCAACAAATGTACTGCTGCACTAATGTGAACATGAAGCAAAACTTGAAATCAAAAGGGTAGCACTCTTTTCCCAAGCTCCAGTGGATTACTACTGTCCACTTTGGAGGCCATCAGTCTAGGTGGTATATGGATAGTTAACAGTTACTGTTGAATCGCCAGGGAAGGTCCTGGTGAAGACTGCTGTGGGGTCCTACTTGATTTGAAAGGCAAATTTGCCACACCAGCAGACTGAAGTCCTTTCTAATAAAAAGATTGCAGATGTAAATCCTTGTACTTCATTCAGAGTCTTCTCTGCCCCTTTTGTAATTTCCTATACCTGTCCTGTTTCACACGGTAACCTAAGTAGTATGTGTGTTTTCATTTAATACATACTTCGGTAGGTTAAGATAACACGTTATCTAATAATTGAATAAGCTACTAAACATTTTAAACTCTCCATTTTCTCATCCTTTTGCATATGAGGAAACTGAGGGTTTAAAATGTTTAGTAACTTATTCAATAGACAGGTGGTAACTGGCAGAATCAAAGTTTGAACTGGTCTTGGTGACACCAGGGCCTGTGCGTAAATCTTACGCCTTACTGGCACCTGATCTTCTACACGGCTACATTTTTTAAGCATTATCATCTGCAGAGTTGTTGGCACAGGGCAGATGCTCCCTGATTAATAGGGGCAGCTGGCCACCAGGCAGCCTGGAGAAGCAGAAAGCACTGGACACACTAATTGTCTCAGTTTAGACCCCAACTCTGTGAATTAGGCATGTAACCTTTCTGGATGTTTGTTTCCTCAGCTATAAAATAGCCACATGCCTTTTCTGCTGTTTTGGAGTGAGGATTACATTGTGACCACACATTAAGGTGTCTGGACCTCGAGAATGTGATGATCAGCTGGGGTCATGACAGGCCAAAAACTATTATTTCTCCTCAGTTTTAGTGATGGCCTATTTACAGGAAATGTGCACAGTGCCATGAGAAGTCTCCAGATCTGCTGCTTTGTGCACAGAGATAGTCTTTTGCAGTTAATTCCATGGAAATAAGGTAACTTTGGTCAGAAGAAGAAAGTTATTAGTAATTGGAGTTATAAAATACGTCTCAGTCTTTGTAAGTAACGCTGAGGTGGTTTATCAGAGTCATCTTTAATGAAAACTTTGCTGCTTTTTAGGCAAACTTGGTTCCCATAATTTGGGATTAATCCATAGAATGTTCAAAGTTTAGTGTCAGCCATTTTCAGTAGAAAATAAGGGCTGACAATTTCCTGTGTTCTTTAGAAGACTCTGAAAGCTTCATGAAAAGAATGAAGACTATTCTTGGCCTGAACACTTGCCCCATGGGGTTCTGGATGCAGCCAAACAGTCTTGCATTAGCAAAGGAGGGTCAAGTGAAAGGAGACCCTGTTCTGTGCCAGGCTTTCAAAGGGTAGCCTGAAACCCTATTGGCCACATACAACCTCTGTTTCAGATGCTGTTTGTGGGCCTGCCGAAATCTAATGCTACTCAGGCTTTCTGAAATCCTGTGGGGGTGGGAAGAGGGAGTGGCTGACACCTCTGAGAGCAGAGGTTTGTGATGTTGTGGCACAGATGGGGAGGCTAGCGCGGGGGGGACGGTCAGACACGACCAACAAACTTCCTTTTGGTTTTGTTCTCTTCGAGGTGGGCCACCCCGCTTAGCTCCCTATAGTCCAAGTCTGGATATCGGCAACTAAGTAGAGCACAGATTCCCCCGAGTGAGGGGCTGGCTCTCTCCCGAGAATGGGGATACCAAACTAACCTGTTCTGGCAAAGGCGTACAACTTTTTACCCCCATTTAATTCTGTTGTCTTTGAGTTCTTAGCGGTCTCTTTCGTATTTAAATATATGCTCTGCTCTAGTGCAGCACAGAAAAGTTCCCTGTGTCTTGGATAAGCCAGTAGTTTTAAGCAGCTTGGCAAATGGTGGGTGAAGCAATGAGCACCCTGGCATGGACCCTGGTGTTAATGTGACCTTTTCTCCCTGCATTTCAGAAGTCAGGGAACATATCGGTGGGATGGAGTGGGAGCTGTCCAATTTTAATTTTTTTTTCCATAGGGATAAATCTCAGTGTGATTATACAAATCTCTGGCTTAGCCTGATGAAAAACAAAACTAAATGTAATCAATATTTTGGGAACACTCTTCTCCCAAGCTCTCACCCAGACACAAATGAAATCTTCCTTAGACCTTTGTATTTCTGGGCAGAGGTGGCAGGAACGCAGATTGGAGTTTTTCTCTCTCAAATCCCTACCTCATTAGTGCCTAATTTCGCCCCACCCCTGAGAGTCAGGTGCTTGGAAAATGGAATGGAGACCACTGGTGAAAATTCACCTTCTGTAGTCTCCTTTCAGGTATCATTGGCCCAATTATAGCTCATGTATGTCCTGAAAAGGAGATCGGTTTTCTTTCTCCAACTTGTAAGAACTGATTAACTCAACCCACCAAATGTGAATGTTTTAGACAATATTCAAACTGAGAAAAGTACCTGCCTATCACGGGAGAGAGAACTCCCTGGGGAAGAAAAATACTTGTTGCACCCTTCCAATTTTGATTCCTTCCAAAAGTGTCCACAAACACTTGTTATTGTACTTTTCCAATTCTGTTTCCTGGCACAAGTGTTTGTGGAGTCCTGGCTCCCAAAACTCACCCAAACCTCACATAGATTGTGCCAAATACAGAGCATTCACATAGATTCTAGACTAAAGCTCATGAGAACACTATGACATGGCCATTTTCACCTCTTTCTAAAAACAAGCAAGCTAAAATTTCCCTGTGTGATTCCGTAACATTTGTATTCATTATCCATTGTTCCGCAATAAATGCCCCTCAAGTCTGGCAACAAAATCTAAACCACAATAATCTGTAATAGTGACATGTGTTACCTTAGTTTGTGCAGGTTAGGAAGTAAGTGGTTTGGGTGGGTGGTCCGGCAGGGTTGCCAATGAAGCTGTTGGCCGAGGCTGCAGTCAGCTGAGGGCGTCAGTGGGGCTGGGGGATCTGCTCACTGGCATCACTGGCCTCAGCCCCTTGCCACATGGACCTCTCCACAGGGCTGCTTCAGGGGCCTTGTGACATGGTGGCTGGCTTTCTCAGAGAGCAAGTGATCCAAGAGATTGCAAGGCAAAAGCCACATGGCTTTTATGACCCGGCTCTGAGAGTCACACACGTAATTTCCCAATATCCTACGGCTAATGCAGCTTAGTCCTGTTCAATGTGTGAGGGGCTGTACAAGGGCAGGAGTGCTAGAAGGCGGCTAACACGGTATTTTATCCACTTTCTGGGCAATAGACATCTGTTAATTATTACAA